TAGCTTTGAGCAGTAGGGTAGGAGCGAAAGTGAAGAGACCGGCCACGGCCGCCATTGCGCATTGCATAAACAGCAGGCTGCGGAAATACTTGAGCAAGTGCCACGAAAGGGCAGTCGTCTTCTTCATCAGCCTGTAATCGGCAATGACGGCCGTGGACTTGTCCTTGGGGAGGAGATTCCAAACATCCTCAAGCTCCAGGGGCTTCTTCCAACCTTGCCAAACAATCGCATCGACCCACGAAAAGGTGGCAATGGAAAAGAGACTGGCAAGAGGCTCGCGTGAGGGCTCGATGCCATCCTCCCACTCCAACTTGACAGTCTTGTTGCCCTTTCGCGTGGAGACAGCAATGCCGAATAGCAAAGAGTTGAGGGCAAAGTCGACGATGACGAGAATCTGAGAAAGTCGGGAGTAAGGGTAGAGAATGGCCGAGCGGAAGATGAAGATGGAGAGTAGCCATTTGCAGCCGTAAATGGTGGCGGTGTGGTTCCAGATATAGGGGATTCGCCATTTGGAGGTACCCAGCGCAACTCGCAGTGTCGCAAGAATCAACGTATATATCCAAGTGGTAAGACCAGCAGCGGCAACCAGGTGGGTGTCGGGGCCAAAAGCACCGGTGACGAGAGCATATGCATTGATTGCAACCAGGCCAATGAGAGCAAGCTCTTCGACGAATTGCGAGAAGCGCTGAGCAGTGGGGGTGTCGGCTTGGACTATTGAGCCCCTTGAAGTCACCTTGGCCAGAGCCAAGCGGCCGCCGTTGATCTCGAGATCGTCGTCATCGCTGTCTTCGGATTCTTCGTCGGGGGGGATGGCTGTGTGGTCGGGAACGGCGTCGTTGGCAGAGATGGAGCTATAACCCTTGCCCTTGGCACTGCGGATGCGGTCGATTTTGGACCAAGCGAGGCGCAAGAAAGAAATAGCAATTACTATTAACGGGAGGAGGACAGCGAGGTAACTGTGTATTTGCCCATTAGCTGAACTGTACCTTGCGCATCTATACCAAGTGCAAGTGGCAAAGCAGATTGCGAGCGCACAGCAGCAGCGCGAATCAAGAACTTACTCTCTGCGGAAGCAGCCGCTAAAGTCATCAATGTTCCATAGCGGATCTGAGCACTGAGCAAAGCCCATAGCGGGTTCCGGGTTGGGAGCAAGAGCTGCCCGCGAAGCAATAAGAAAAGTATAGGAAGCAAAATGGGTTCAAGGTATGTGGTGGTTCAGAAAGCAGAAAGAGAATGGGGGCTTGAAGGAAAGAACACGGACGAGCCTCGGTGGTCTCGCCTCGGTTCCTGGCGTGTCAGCTCTCGTTGCTGCTGCCTCTCTATACACTCATAGCGTTAGCGAATGTACAGGCATGAGAAGAAAAGACATTCGGCGGACAGGAGAGGAAGTGAAAAGAGGAAGAAAGAGGCGAATGGACGATGATGGGATGTACAGGAACTGGGCGGTCGCATTGGTCAGAAGGCGACGGCGGGGTGGAGCTGCCAGGTAGCGCTAGCTGCAGTACAGGTACTGCCGGTGGATAAGACATGAGCGCGGACGCACGCGCAGGTATGCCGCTCCGTACAGCCAGGTACTTGTACAAGTCAGAGCAGACTAATACATGCCCGGATCAGTTATCAGTGGGGAAAAGAGGCGGACAGGGTACGGAGGGAGTAGCTTTGCGCGCGATGCAGTGGGGAAGAAACACGCAGGGGGGGACTTTTCTTCTTCTTTTTTCTTCTTTTTTTTCCTTTTTCTCCTCTTAACTTCTTTCTTTCGGGCGTCGCGGTTGGAGTCGAACGGGGAATTTTGCACATCGACGACCCTCACCTAAGGTACAAGTACGTGCTAGCATGCGGAGTACATGCAGCTCTGTGCGTTGCGGCGCCTGACAAGGTATTCCCGGGGTACCTCTGATATCGATGCATCAATCTCCAGTACTCGGTACAGACGTTAAGATGGAGGTTTGAGCAACACACCAAGCTCGCACAAGCATGCGGGCAAAGGGCACTATTGATATCCTTGCCGCCCCCAACTGGTCTGCAATTCAACCGGCGGCTAGCCTGATGAGACAGATGATGGAAGCGCGGTGGCACGATGATCGACTCGAGGGTCGAGAAGAGGAACTGCGTTGGGATCAAGAGTCACACGGCGGGAGCTGCATTAGTGCATGCGCTGAAGCTGCTTTTGCACCCCAGCACATGATGAGGATATGGTGTAAGCCTCTGTAAGGTGATTACGGCTCTGGGCTAGCGGGCACTCCAACGAACTCAGAGATGGGAGCAGAGATCTGGGACGTCGTGAAAGGCACAAGGGGCCGGTTCGGGGCGATTGAGAGACCGGCTTATCCTGCCGCTAGACCTCACCTCAGGCAGGGTTGCACTCCGTCCCGTAGGTATGTCTGGCAATCAACTCTTTGTAACCGGTTAAGAGTTGATGCCGCCACGAACCTTGAGAGTGTCTTGATCTAAACTTTGCTTTAACATGCATGATGACCACGGGCTGTACATGCGAGGTACACGAGCCTTGGTCAGAGTTGCAGCTGCTACTACCTTGGGCAGGGCAGTATTGCCAGAGCTTAAAACTGCAGCAAAAGTACCATCGAGTACCCGGTATCCAACCAAATGGCCGGCCTACAGTATGATCAATCTCGCAAATCACCACATCAGCTCTCAGCCCGATCATGACTTGCAGCCATCTCCTGCGTTCCCAGCACGGATTCGCACTTGGTACTGTAGCGTCGACTCATTCACTGAGTCATCAGAGTCGACGCGATGCACATGGCTTTGCAAACCACAAACGTTCCCTGCCCTCCATCCTACATACAGCCTCCTCTCTCTGCTCGGTAGCACATGCTCGCGCCCTCTGCACACATCAGAACGTGTTGTTGATTCATCCATCGTCCATCATCCATTATACGGCAGACGGCGCAGGGCACTGGCACGGCATCTACTTATTCTGCTGTCATTATGCATTTGCCACTTCTCGAATCTGGAATCACTCATTACTGACGGCGAAACTCTTTTTTTTTTCCATCTTCGCCTTCTGCCTTTCCTATCCAGGCTAACAAAGGCCCATCCACTTGGTCAACTCCACTACCGCCCCTCCCCGACCTTCCCCTTAGGTGTACAGAAATCCTCCACAGAATCTGTCCCGCTCCCATAGCCTCTCTTTCGAATGACTGACTCACCGCTATGGCGGAGCCTGGCAGCCTCCTTACTATAGTACTGCTCGTACTTGTATTCTATCCGTGCGTGTGTGGCACCAAGCCAGCCCGGGATACTCAAGAGACGCCGCTAGCTGTGTGCTTGCTTCCAGACCACCAATACCAAGCATCACCAACTAACTACCCGCGCCTTGACAGCTTCTTTTTCCAACCCTCTGCCAGGCAAAAAAAAAAAAAAAAAAAAAAAAAAACCACGATGGCGGCACTGGAGCTACTGCACTACGACATGTCCGGCCCTGCAGCGAGCCCCGAACATTGCCTGCATGGCGCATCCCGGCACGCACGCCATATCCCGGACCCTCCACGCAGCGCTGATTTGCTACCCCGTTTCGTACCGTAACTCGTGCCCCCTTCACAACGCGTTGCGGGAGGGAGGGGAGGCCCAAGCTCCACGGAGCCATGATCCGAACCTTTTTTTTTTTTTTTTTTTTTGGCTTGATTCATCCTCGTCCATTTATCTGATTTCGCCGAAAAAGGCTATGGAATGGTCTACTATCTCGGCTATCTTTGTGGCGAAACCAGCGGCCACAGAGCATAGCTTATTGGCTCTCTTCTCTGTGCGGCTCATCATCAAATCATGGGGAGATGAACCCAAGACACCTGTAGTTGATAACTTTGGTATATGACTTCAAGGTTGTTTGTTCCATCAACCAACATTACAGCTTCGTCTTAGTGCTAGGCAATGTCTTGTTTGTTGCCTTCAGCTCTCCTTGACCAACGGTAACTAATGGCCACTGATTGGTTCTTCCGTAGTTCGGCACGCCTTACTATGGAGCATCGAGAAATTGGATAGTCATCATACATCATGGTTGCGGTCAGTGACTCAAAACGAAAGGGAAAAACTCCCCGGGTAAGTTCCCCGCAAAACCCCCGTGGATGCCATCTATTGCCACTGGCAAAGTTGTGCGTCAGGAGACTTGAATGCTAATATCGCCGGCGAGGCTTGGTTCATTTACAGGGCGGTAGTAATCCAAGATGCATGTCTCAGTCAGGACTGATGAAAGTTACACCGCGGCGCTGTTGGCACTTATACGACGTCCATGCATAAGGTAGATGGCATCTCCCATTGCAAACTACATGTGCCCACGGTCCATACATAGTCATATCCAGCAACACCCCTAGGCATTGTCATCACTTTCTCACGCCGGCAATAGCTAAAGCCAAGCGGATTTCGCATCGTTCATCGCGTAATTCCCCTTATTGAATCTGAATGCTTCCTTGCACATGTGCAGTAACGGCTGGCCCGTGGGAAGGCCTCACCGTCTTTCTGGCGCTGACAAATGCGGTCTATCGACCCTGGGCTGTAATCCTCTTCATCATACTGACTGTACGAATACTCAACCTTGTTCTCCATCATACATATTTGTACGAATGTGCTCTCACCGAAGAGATGAAGCATGGTTATCGTGGCCGGCCGTGGGGCCATGTTTTACAACCTGTGCGTTGCAATTGCATCACCCAAAAGTATCGATACAGACGGTACACTGCACAATGAGAGGTTGATTATGTGTATTAACCAAACAGGCTCGTGATACCTTTGCTGCCTGTTTGTGTATCAATGATGTGCTCGCCGTCTCTTAAGACTCCATAGCGGTATATCACTCCAGACCAATCGCCGCCAAATTACGCCAATCCAAGACAATAGTCCTACATGCTGTATCACGGTTCACAAATCTAAAATTTCCTCCGAGTATCCGTACATCGTACAAGAATCTATTAAACCCCTGGTCATGTCAAGACGTGTTCGTCCGGCCCCCCCCCCCCAAGAAATACCCGTGCCTCCGAAAGCGGAACCTATTTCCTGGATATGAACTCATCCATTGATGACACCTGTTCCACAGGATGCTTGCTCAGACTTTCGTAAAGCTGCAGGTAACTGCCGATCAAGAAAGCCCATGAGCCCCTAAGAGTAGCAGCCAAAAGTCAGCAAATGTCATCCCCTTTTTAACGGATCTTGAAGCATCAGACGCCAGGTACTTACCAAAATGTAGCCAGTCCAGCTTGATACTGCGCCCCAGAATTGTTGTATGCCATTCCCAGGGCACCGCAGAGCGTGAAGCCAAATGCTCCCACGAGATTCCAAAATGCAATGTGCCAGCCCAAAAGATGAGGTGCGGGCTTCCACCATTTCTGCTGTGTTTCTAGCATGTACAACGTGCTGCTGACAATGAAGCCACTGCCGCCAACGACTTGAGGGATCCAGTATGCAGCATTGAGTCGCCATTGGGGCGTGAGATGATTGTTGATACCCGGCAGGGCGGTAAACCCAGACACACCGAAAACAGTAGCGCCGAAGAGCTGTGCACAACCGGCGAGAAACCCCAACTCGTGGATATAATGTGTGCGCAGGTCGTGCCAGGAAGGGAACCACTGCCATTGCTTCTCATCATTAGCCCTGCTGGAGTCCTGTTGAGCTTCAATCGAAGCGGTAGCCGAGGGCTTGCCCACAAAATTACGTCGATTTTGGTGATGGTGGTGGCAATGATGGCGGCTTGCGACCACCCGAAGCCTCGGTTTGCCGCTCCTCCCATTGTCGACCAATTGCTCGACGGCCCAACCGAAGCAGCCCGATCTATTGGCGTTTATGGCTTCGAATATGAGAAGGATGGAACCGAATTCGAAAAAGATGATGGCGCCGATGAAGGCGGTTATGCCACCGCCCCAGTAGACTTCGCCGTCGAACTCGGTAGAGGGAGCCACCAGCGGAAGCCAGACGAAGAAACTCTGTCCGATACATCAGATCACCAAGCTCAAACCCCCATGGCCGACTGCTCCAGTGCATTGTACACATACATTTAGAACCCAGACTATGCTTCCCCATGTAAATATGAAGGCCACCAGCCAAGAAATGTCCCAGATGGGGTAGTGCGTGAAAGTCCTGATCACCGTCTTCACAATCTCCCGGGGATGTGTCGTCCGCCTTGGCGTCACGAAAGGCACCTCCTCTCCTGGAAGCGGCTTTTGGACGAGTAAAGCATGCCGACCCTTTCGGTTGTCTCGAGACCGCCAGAGGAACCTGACATTCTTGGCGGGAACGTTCGAATCGCCGGCTTGTTTTGTCTGTTCGTGCCTGGTTTCCGCATCATCGCCGCTCTCATGTGGTTCCGCTATGTCGTCAGGCGCCGGCTTGGGAGCCAGTGCCGAGTGGTCGAAATGAGCTCTTGTTGGATTGAGAAAGCCAAAGGGCCCCTCGGCGTGCTGCAACGTTAGCCTGTTGTCATTGTCGAACGGCTCCCGCGAGAAGAAGCGCCCGTTCCGAGCTGGCATTTTTCTATGGGCGCGCTTGTTCACGAGCTCTAGAATCGAGTGTGTCGAGTGTTGTTATGGCCCTCTCTGAGCTCTAGATGTCTGACGCTATCGACAGCCTACGCCAAACAGTCCATTAAAGAGCGTGAGTGCGCGCCTGATGCCATTCGGAATGCCCAATGACGTCGAATTGGAAGATGAAGAGCCGATGACGACAATAACGTGAACATGTTTGATCCTGGCATGACATGGTTCAAGAGTTAGCCGATCTTAGCTTCAGCTTTCAAGTGCCGTTCCCGTGTTAGTGCTGTCCCATACGAGTACGCCTATGAGCCGCCGCTGCTGGCACGGGCATTACGTAAAGCCGGGCTTTGCTTCCCCGCGATACTCCAAAATCGACTCCAACTAGGAAACCGGGCGTCGGACAACGATTTACTGTCACTCATCGCGAGTTTGCTCGAGTGCAGCTTATACGAGTAGGCGAGTAGCAAATGTATGTGTACTAGGTAGGTAGGTAGGTATGTTGATACTATTTATCTACCCATGTACAAACCATTGAGCTTGGTTACTTGGTGTTTCTGGCATAGGCCTCACGAGTTCGCCCATTTATACCGTAGTGCCTCAGACATGATTTCTTCTGGGAATATTTAATCCATAGACATGTAGTTATAAACGCGACGCCTCCTATCTCTCGCAATTCCGGCTCCCAGTTGCCTGAAAAAACAATCGTACATTTCCATTTTATATTTGATTCATACTCCTTATCCCCCATTGATATCCCCTGTTGGTACATTACTACAATTTCCATGCCTGTCGAGGGTTTACCAAGACTGTAGAAATCAAAGAGATTTTATTTGAGAATCAAGGCTCCCCCACTTCCCATATGATTCCAATTAGCCCATGATCATGCCCTTCATTCCGGCAAGATCACCCTCCTTGGCAGCAATTTCGAAGTAGCCGTAGATGATACTGGTAAAAATTAGCTTCACCCCAACTTCATCTGCAATGGGGAGGGAGGGTATATAAACTTACGTGACAGCGAGCAGAGTACCGGTACCAGAGCCAAGAGCCCCCATAAGGTCGCTCAGGACGGACAGAGCACCGATGCAGGCACCACCAAAGGCAGCGGCGGTAGGAATGATGCGCTTGAGCTCCTTGTACATGCTCTGATCGCGGTGTCCAGCCATGACGAGACCCTGGTCCTTGAGCTGCTTGGCAACATCACGGGGGCTAGAGCCGGAAACCTCAATCCAGGTCTTGGAGAAGAGAGCACAGGCACCGAGCATGTAGACGATGTAGACGGCGGTGTGGATGGGGTCAAGCAGAGCATCCTTGAAGTTGAGAGGAGGAGACATGTAGTAGACAAGGCCGGAGATGGCGTGGAGCTGAGAAGTACCATCCTTGGCCTCCCACACACCAAAGAGACGGACCAGGAGGTTCTCGGAGAAACGAGAGTAGAGCATCTGGCTGATCAGGAAGACGTTGGAGGACAGGGCGGACTGCAGCATGATGGGCATGTTGGAGGTGTAGAACAGGCGAACGGGGTATGAGCCTCGGGCACCACGCTGGCGGTTGGACTTGACGGGGATCTCGACGCGGAAACCCTGGAGGTAGATGATGGCAACAAAGACCAGGATGGTGGCGAGGAGGTTCATGATGTTGGGGAGGTTCTGCCTGTAGAAGGCCTCCTGGAGAGCGCGCTGCTTGTTGGGCCAGGTCATGAGGAGGTGGAAGAGAGCGATGACGGCACCTTCAAACTCGGGGCCACGGCCAGTGTTGATGGTGGTGGGTGAGAAAGCCTTCCACATGATGGACTCGCAGATGTTGGTGGCGATGAACAGAGAGATTCCACTGCCAAGGCCGTAACCCTTCTGCAGGAGCTCGTCGAGCAGAATGACAATCATGCCAGCAACGACGAGCTGGAGGATGAGCAGGAAGACAATGCCGGCACCGAGGTCGGAGGGAGTGCCGTAGAGACCGGTGAAGACGTAGACGGTGGCGGTACCGGCAGACAGGATGAAGGCAAAGAGCTTCTGGGCAGTCTGGTAGAGTTCGCGATCCGACTTGAGGTCGAGGTTGACGTCGATGAGGTGGGTACCAGCGAGGAGCTGGAAAACCATGCCAGAGGAGATGATGGGAGTGATACCCAATTCCATCAGAGTACCTCGATTACTCGCCATGACCATTCGCAGCCAGTATAGAGGATCCGAATTGTCGGAAGAGACAATGCCGTACAGAGGCATTTGACTCATGACCAGGAAGATGAGGAGCGTCAATGCCGTCCACATCAGCTTCTGGTTGAAGGGAATCTTGGTTTCCGGCTGCTGAACCTCGGGGAGGAACGGCACGAACGGCTTGACCAGATCGAGAAAGCGTACTGCGCAAGAATTGCCATGTTAGCAGCGTGCCATTGAGCATCAATTGCGCGCTTTCGGCCGTCTGTCTGCGAGCGCGCGCGCGACACAAACTGGACGGCGAATTGGTGGGGGGAATTGCAACTCACGAGAACTCATGGCGGCGGCTGAGGGGGGAAAACCAGAGAAGGAAAACTAATTCATCCAAGGAAAAAAAGGAAGGAAGAAAAAGTCGAGCTTGGATGAGCTCGGGGGTAGAAGAAAAGGTGAATCGATGAGAGAAGTGGTGAAGGGAGCTGGGGAAAGGTTGCGATCTGGCTTCAAGCCCCGAAATGTTGATGTGTCCCGAAACTAGATGGGGTCGCACGTGACTCGCCCGTCGTTAAAGAAGCGTGGCCTCGACGGACCAACAAGGGTCTGGTCTGGTATCTTTTTTCCACCGCAGCACTGCAATAAGCCAACCAATTCAATTCAAGCCACCTGGAGGAGCTTGAAGTGGGGGGGTTTGGATGACTGTTCCAGTTCGAAATTCTTCTATTGATTTTCTGGCGCTCTCAAACAGCTGCGGCCCAGCTCGAAGAGGAAGCTTCCACAGCATTGCGCCGTAAAAAGCCAGATTGCAGGATAGGGTTCTGCCAGTGCCAACGCAACGAGGCCCGATTTGGCTCGTTGTCGAATGCTCGGCCGGGGAGCAGGGCTGTTGCGCCATGTACTGTCTATGCCTGTGTCTGTGTCTATGATGGCCGCTCGCAAAGCTCCAGCCGAACCGTTGCTGGTGATCCTGGGCTCTACAGGCACGGGCAAATCCGAGGTTGGACTGTCTTTGCCCTAACTGCAGACGACCTGGGTTCACATTTTCTGACAGATTCATACAGCTAGCCGTAGAACTGGCAACGCGGTTCAAAGGCGAGATCATCAATTCTGATGCTATGCAGCTTTACAATGGCCTGCCCATCATAACGAACAAGATCAGCCAAGAGGAGCGACACGGCATCCCACACCATCTTTTGGGCCACATTCCGCTTGACGACGCTCCTTGGGACGTAGAAGATTTCAAAGCTGAAGCCACAAAGGTTATACGCGAAATCCGCGGTCGTGGAAACCTTCCCATCCTCGTTGGAGGGACTCAGTACTATGTTGACCCGCTTCTTTTTAAAGATGTAATCCTTGATGACGTGCAGATAGACCCGTCCTTATCGTTTCCAATCTTGGAGCAGCCTACAGATGTGTTACTGGAAGCGCTGAAGAAGGCTGATCCGATTATGGCGGAGAGGTGGCACCCGAATGATAGACGCAAGATTCAGCGATCACTCGAAATCTACCTGCATACGGGTAAGCCTGCATCAGAACTATATGCAGAGCAAGAGAAGCGCAAAGCTGCAGTTGCTCAAGAACCAGGGACAAGTCAGCCTTGGGAAAAGTTGCTCTTCTGGGTCTATTCAGAACGAGATACCCTTACTGCACGGCTGGACAGTCGAGTAGACAAGATGCTCGGTGCCGGACTCTTGGACGAGGTTCAAGAGCTGTTTGATATGAAGAAGAGCAAGGCCGCTGAGGGCCAAATCTTGAACATGACAAAGGGCATATGGCAGTCCATTGGTTACAAGCAGTTTGAACCATACATGGCTACGAGAGAGGAGGGCAAGGATGAGGTTGACCTTGAAAAGCTCAAATCCAACGCCTTGGAGGAGATGAAGGCGGCAACGCGCCGGTATGCAAACTACCAAACCCGATGGATCAGGCTGAAGCAGATCCCACGCCTGAAGGAGCAAGGCCCCGAGGCATTCAACAACTTATACTTGGTGGACAGCACCGATGTCTCCAAGTTCAAAGCCAATGTCATAGAGCCTGCTGCCGAGATTACGTCCAAGTTCCTCTCTGGGGAATCGAGGCCGGTGCCCACTGAGTTGTCGGAACTGGCCCGAGAGGTGCTTACACGAGTGGGTGAGCCCCCGCCAAAGGAAATTCCATGCAAAAGAACGTGCGAGATATGCCAAACAGTCTGCGTGACGGAGCAGGCCTGGCAACGGCACATTAAGGGTGCCGGGCATAAACGAGTCATGAAGAAGAAGAAGAGACTGGCGCTTGTACCGGTAGACAAGAGTACAGACAACGCTTCCGACAGTGAAGCATCTTCGGATCCCGATGTAACCTCAATCTTTGCCACTTGATACCTCATCCTTTCAGATATTACGCCGACAAAGATGACCAATGACCGATCTGCATAGCAACATGATGTGCTAGTATAGCAATATCAAGGGGTGTGCAAAAAAAAAAGAAAGAAAAAAAGAAAAAAGAGGGAGTCGAGAGACTATCAGCATACAGACACAGACAATTCGCACATACCCGCAACCAAGTACTATAAGCAACTACACTCGTTGGTTGCAATGATACCACACAGTGTTTCGGATCACACCCTGACAAGCATGATTCCTGCAGGGCACAATCACGCATTGATATTTACTGCAACCTTGATGCAGTACAACATGTCGACAACTCATGCATGGCAAATTCATTTAGTCTTGGCAATGAGAAGCGTCTGTTAATTCTGGCTAAATTCCTTGAGACTACACACGGAATAACCGTGCCTGATGTTCTCTCCCATACTCCGAATGGGCCATTTTTGTTATCTGCCGAATCCTTTAGGATTGTGGATGTCAAGGTCCGCACACATACGTCGGCACTGAAGAGATGGATACGATTTTTCAATGAGAAAACGCAAATGGTTCATTCTGATTCAGATCTTTGCCATACATTCAAAAAGAAAAAAAACTAAACTCGCCGAATCCAAATCCCAGCTACATTGCTCAGGGGTCCACCTAAATGACAATATGTAATTGTCCATGTTGCTAAAATCCATGAAAGATGCCTCACACCACAGGATCCAATGCCCGAAGATGCCGTAAAACTGATAAACTGCATGATGAAAATCCCAGAGCGTCGCCATGAGTCATAATGATGCGAAAAATGCTCCTTTCAAACCCCAAGTCCTGCGCCTTGGAAACTCCAGACCAATTGTGGCCAACAAAAAAAAACGAGAGAAGGAAATGCGCGTCGGTTCATAAGAACTAGGCTCCAGCCTCGTCGATCCCGTGGCCGCTTACATTTCTGACAGGATGGAACTGCCCTTTGTGGTGATGGGTTGCGGGATGCAAGTCAACGCCGAACAGTCCGCTGATGGATATCAACGGAGGGGAGCGTAAAACAGAACGAAAAACGAAAGCAAAAGACAGAAAAGGTTCTCATGCGTAATGCTCTTTAGAATGTCTGCTTCTCAATCGTTGGCGCCTTGACGCTTGGTCCGCTGCGGGAGACCCAGGTCTGAGCCTCTCGCACGACGCCCTTGAAGAATGTGAGGATGCCGCTGGACTCGCCGGCAGCGCCTCTGGAGGTGTTGTCGTTGAGGGCGTCGAGGTAGATGGTTCGTCGGGCCATGGCTGATGATTTTGTGTGTTTAGGTGGTTTGTTTCTTTCTTTGTCTCGTGCAAGTGCCGGTCAACCTGGTAGTGTATATATATGTGTATATATATAGGTATATATATATAATGGAGTCGAATCAAAAGAGCACTTGTTATATAGCAGTATTCAAGAAATGTCAGATGCACCGAATGGTAGTTGATACAACAAGACAAGAAGAAAAAAAGACAAACGCAAGCACATTCCAAACCAACGCGGGCACACCTCATTCTTTTATACCCAGACCAACGAACCCAAGCCCAGCCCAGCCCAGCTCAAGCTCCCTCCCTCCCCCTCCGTCCACACACACAATGCGGGCGCAAAAGCCACACAGACGCCGCCGGCCATTCAAGTTCCCAGCTTTCGTCTATTGTCGCCCCAAAAGTCCTGCATTGTCTCTCTCCTCTACTAGGGCCGGCTGCCGGACGCTCCCATTCCAGGCAAAACCCCCCCCCCCCCTTCCCCGTTATCTCATAAATAGGTAGCCTGCTGCAGTGCCTCTCTTATTTCGGCTTCCAAGCAGCGCCGGGCCAATCGCCGACCCTTGCCTTGATGCCAACAAACTCCGCCCGCGCGCCCATCCATGGGATCAAGACTAGGTATTGGCAAGGTCCGGCAGTGACAGGTATCTTTTTGACTTCTTCTTCATTTTCTGCCTTGCTCGACTGCGGTAATCAAACCACCCATGCATAAGACAAGTGCTATCGTAAAAAGAGACAAGACAGGGCCCCTTGGACTAGGATTCCCCCTCTTCTTGCTCTTGTCATTGTGTCATCTGATGCAGCGCCATGGACAAGCTGAACGGGACCCTTGCCAAGGTATTCGTAATGGAAGTACTACTTGTAATACTCGTACTACGAGGACCTTAGTACAGGTACAGTCCACACTCCAGTATCTACTTTCGTCTGATGTTGCGAAATCTCAAACTGCATGTTCCTTGCCTCTTCAGCAAAATGCGACCTCGCCACTCGCTTGCCTGGGCCTGCTCCATTAGGCAAGCCGCCCATCCATTCCCAAAATCCCACGAAATCTCGAGTCTCCAGACCCGCCGGATGCACGCCATAACATGCGTTACTACGTTGCGGCCCTTCCTCTCCCCAACTCCAAGCAGCACAGCACGGACGGGCATCGGAAAAGCAACCTGCAACGCAAACGCACTGACATGTGAATCAACTACTACCCCGATTGCCTTAGTGCCTTCTGCGTATAAGATTCTAGTTCGAAAACACAACCTACCTTGGACAAGACCGGACAGTAATCAATAGTGTAATGTAATGTATGGACGAACAAAGGTTACCGTTACCTAGCGGCTTCCCCGCATCTCGCTACGACGAGTATACGAGTATGCCTCTTTGAGATTGGGAGAGATTAGGAAACCCTTGCTGCCTTGCTGAGATGGCTGTAGCTGTGCGAGTAATCCATCATCCCTTCTCACCATCATCATCATCGTCATCGTCATCATCCTGGGAGGGTCTCGTTCTTTCACATGCAAGGGCTATATGTACTGTATGTACTATTATTAGTGCTGCTACGCCGAGCTGTGCCTGTCCACCAAACGCCTGCAGGCTGCCTTGACGAGATGGATCCTGCGGAGCTGCTGATACAGGAGCAAGAGATGCCTTCGACCGAGCATCTGGCCCGTCAAGCGGATCTGTCTGCAACCGGTCCGCATCAGCGTTGTGGATGCCTCATGCCCTGCAACCCGTACCCAGCCAACCAGGCCCCTGGACCCTTAATATATCGCATCTCCTAATCAAATGAGTCTTTTTCTCTCCCTTTCTAATCTGCTACTTGTACGTACTGCACGATACTGCTGCTACATGCCACAGCCGTAACGTCAAATGGACCTTGAGCCAGCATGCATAGTTTGATGGGCCATGAGCCTATGCCGTAAGGCAGAGAGTGCCATGGTTACACCGCATTGTGCGTCCGGTTCTCCCTATTGGCCTGCTGATCCTCCTTCCATCCATTCCTTCCATCCACTCTGCCGTCCCTCAGAGAGTCCTCGTGTGGAGCTGGCTGCTCTCTTCCCGCAGACCTTTGAGTTGCCGATCAAACTCCTTGTTCGCCCACTCCCAGTAACCTGTCCACGCGCCCGCCGCCGCCGCATTGCTGGTCGCCGCACCGGCATTTCCAGTCATCGCCTTCATCTTGTCTCCCAGGAGGAGCGTCACTCTCAGTATGCTCTTGTTGGTTTCCTCTTGCTTCTCGACGTCTTGCTTGACGGCATTGTCCTTGAGCTTGATGGACAGAACTCCGCGGTAGGCTTCGGCAATCGAGTCCAGGCGGCGTGCCGTCTCATCGGGGTCGATGACAATGAGTTTGGTAACCATCAGGTTGCAAAGCTGACGGATATCGTTGTCGTCCTTAAGACCAGCGATAACTCGATCGTAAAAGTCAATGTTATTGATCCGCGTGAAAGCCGTCTCCATCAGTGCATACAGGGTCTCGTATGCGCTCTGTATCGAACCTAGTGTCAGCCATGTGCAAAATTGCGTGCAATCATGTAGTCTACTTGCCTTGCGGACTTCCAGACCGTCGTCGACCTTGTGCTTGAAGGGGCCTAGCATCACCTCCCGGATAAGCTCCTTCTTGATTACCGATTCACTGAGCACGAATGGCAGCAGTTCGCCCAGGTGAGGCAGAATAAGATCTGGCTTGTTGTGAGCCGCCGAGTTCAGCGTCGTCATCGCCAGGCGTCGGATTTCCATGTCCGAGTCTTGCAGCATCGTCAGGAGCATCTCAATGAGGACATTTCTGAGCATTGCGTCAAACGTCTCGTCGCTCTCTGGGAGCGTGTACCTGACAGCCTGGACTGCCATGCCTCGAATGCCCGATGATTCGTCCTTCAAGAGCGTCTACCGTAACATTAGCAACTTGCGAAACTTCGCCTCGTCAAATGTGCCAGACTTACCTGGAGTTTGGGCATAAATGTTGCCGGATCGAGTGTGGCCAGGCGGCCGACACACTCGGCGCAGATAATCTTGTTGTCGGCATTCAGCGATGCTCCGATAAGCTGATCCCAGATTGCTTTGGCATAAGTCTGGAGATCGGTAGACTGTGACGGAATGGACTGCAGAATTTCCTTGATAGACTGGATAAGCAAGTATTGTGTGTTGCCCCCACCCTCCATTGTCTTCAGAATAACTGGAAGATACTCCGGCACGTTTCCGGATCCTGCTCTGCCGAGTGCAATGGCAGCGGCCAGCGACACCTTGTCTGGCTCTGCATGGAATTGCTCCAGGAACAGCTGAGGCTGAAGAGGTGACTTGGCCCCAAGCCTCATGCCCGACTCTCCCAAAACAGCAAGGGCGAGGCTTACACCGGCCTCGTCTCCGCGCTGCGTACTGCCGTGAAGCTCCGTGACGAAGCTGTCGAGAGAAACGCCCGCCGAGGTACCGCCCGTCACGAGCAGAGTGCCAATCACCTTGCCCACGACAATCGGGTCTCCCTGAACGCTCACGTCCTTCAGAAGGCCTTGCATAAGGGGCTCGCCAGCGCCACTCTCGCCGACTCGACTAATCAGGTCGAGGAGCTGGTCGAGGACAATGTTGGCAAAGTGTGATTTCAGTAGCTGACAGAGCGCACCAATCATCTCGTCGTTGATAATCAAGTTCGCATGTCCTTGTACCATGTTGCCGAGAATGATCAAAGTTGGGCCGAGGAGATGCGTATCGCTGTTCTTGATGGTGGGTAGCAACGCCGATACGATTCCCTGGATAGTAGCTGGCTCTAGCTTGCCCTGAGTAGCCTTTGAGAGAACAAGATGCTTGAGAGCTTGGATGCTGGAGCCTCGCAGAGATCGGTTTGCCTTTCGCAGCTGGGCTGAGAGCTCCAGGGCGACATCTTGGACCCACGCTTGCTCCAGTTGGTCAGGCGATACAGCAAATGCAGCAACGTTATCAACAGCACGCACCGCAGCAAGGCGAGTTGTCTCGTTCCTCAGCCGCTCTTGAATGATGTTCAAGGCGAATACGCGCTTGTCGGCCGATAGAAGGCCGGATGCCTCCGAGCCAGATGTCCGAGAAATCAGAATTCCTAGAGCATGGATAGCACGCTGTCGAACCTCTGCGTCCGCATCATTGGCAGAACCACGGTCAACAATGACTTCGTAGAGCTTATCCAAGTCATCCTTGAACTTGGAACCAGCGTTTCGTGATCTAGGGGGGGTAATCGCCTTGACGAGCTCTTCGGCGGTACGAATGGCCTCGCTGGAGATTTTATAGAAGCGGTCATGAACGGCAGACGCCACTCCAGCAACAACCTTGCTAAGATATGGCTGCAGCACAGAGGATGAGTGTGTCTTGGCGATATCGCTGATAAGCTTCAACGAGGCGACGCGCAAGGTGCTTGGGGTTGCCGAAGCAGAGCCTCCCGCTGCCGCAAGAGAAGACGAGATTGAACTCGTGCCAGCGGTCTTGACTGCATCGATGATGGGGCCGATGATTTCTGGGAAAAACTCAACGAGGCCACCGTGTTGAACAGACACCAGGTCGTCCAGCATGCTAATGATGGCTTGCTTTGTCGGAACCGTCTTTCCTCTCAACTGCTTCGTCGCGGCTTTGACAATCGTTGGCGTAAGTTTGGAGAGGTCTGCTCGTGGGCCCTGGGAGGGGATTTTCTCAGTAGCGAGTGATGTGATGCCGCTGCCCGCCATGAATTTGGCAGCGCTCGATCCCCCGGCGCTGCTTTGTCTTCTCCTCTTGCGACTGAGAGGCATCTGGGAGACAATTTCAGGCTCGTACTCATCACGGGTCAGATCCACCGTGTGAAGGCCTTCGCCAGTCTTGCGAATGAGCAGCGACAGGGCAGAGATAATTTCGAGACGAACGTTTTCTTCTCTCTCCTCGATGCGCTTCACAAGGTTAGGGGCCGCCTGGTTATATAATACGCCGTTGTCCAGAAGGTCGCCGCTACCGCGGGTGGAGATGAGGGTGTATATGGCCTTTGCAGCACAGCGGCGAACTTTCCAGCTTGCATCGTCATCGTCATCCTCGAATCCGTCGTCGTCTTCGAACTCATTGTCCTCTTCCTCTTCCTCCTCATCGACATCCATCTCCTCGTCGTCATCGACGGCATAATTGGGATCATACTTCAGATATCGCAAGCAAGCAGCGAGGGAGGCATCCGTAAAGGGCCGCATCTCCTGTGGGCACGAAGCCAAGAACGCCTCAAGTGCGACTAGGGCAGTCTCGCGGATCTCGTTGAACTCTGGTCCCAGGTCATCGCCATCGCTAATCTTTCCTAGGTGCTCTTCGAGCTCCGACTCGGACAGGGCATCCAAAATGAAAGACATTGTCTTTTGAAGATGTACGCCGAATCTGGGGGGGATGGAGCGGGCCATGCTGCCCATTATGGAAATGTAGAGGCGACGTGTGACGGGGGGGATGCTGGACTCGGACAGGCCAGTTGTGATGCGATTAATGACATCTTCCAGGTGTGCATCGGACAAATAGACGGCGAGCATAGATATGGCAACAACAGCCCTCTTCTTTACCACAGATGTAGCCTTGTCGCCTTGCAATAACTGCAAGACAACCTCTTGCATTGCCTCAACTTCAACCTGTTGCAGCAAAGGGCCGAAACATCGGACGACTTCTACTAGGACATCGACTGCCTCAGCATTCACACCCTTCTCATTCTGCAGCAGCCCCGTTGGTACCGAAGGAAGATTGACTCGGGTTGTCGATGGAACTCGTGTTAGGGGTCCAGGGCCAATGAGTCGTGGGATCAGCACACGGCTGACGGCGTTGTATGCCTCCTGAACACCGGGAGTACTCGGAATGCCTGGGATCGGTCGAGGAAGCGCGGTGATGACGGCCCGGAGCGCCAGAGCAGGCACAGCGGTGTCGACCGAGTTCTTCAGCTTCAGTGACGACAGCTTGTCGATCATTGGAGCGATGATGGGGGTCGGGACTTTGCCAACGAGCGGCCCAAGGCTACACGTGATGGATAAAGAGCGTTAGCCATTTCACAATTGCAATGATAGGAGTAGGGCTCAAAGTTCAAACATACCACTTGATGGCTAGGTTCTGCACCTCGCCGTTCTGGTCGTCCAACGTCTTGATGATGCCATCGACGGTTCTTGCGGCGATGTTATAGTCGTGCTGAAGAAAGTCATCTCGGGCAGTCGTGAGCAGCTGCAGCAAGTCGTTGAGGGACATGAAGCGAAAATCGGGGTCAGCATCGCCTAGCTTTTGCACATGGCCTATGACGGCCTGTGGCGTGGCAGCGTTGGCGGCGGTGGTAGTCATGGTGATCTCCTCGTCTTCGTAGGCGGAGAGATGCCGGATCAGCGCATCTACCTGGAGCTCGCAGGCGGTTGATGCTGGAGTCTCGGGGGCTGAAGCAGCCTGGACGGAGGTCGGAGGTTGGAGGTTTGCAGGTCAGAGATTAGAGACCAGAGACAAGAGACCAGAAGCTAGATCAAGGCCGTGATGTCTGAGTTGTTGGTGGGGTCAAGCTTCAGGCAGGCGGGGGAGCCCCGTAGGTGACAAAGATGCCTGTAGAACGTCAGAGCGACCGCGGCTCCCCACTGGAGCTACCCGTTAGTAACACAGATGCTACAAAGGCAGGTTCGTATCTCGCGGCACAAGTTCATACCTGGGTACATGTACTTTACAAAGAGATGGACGGCAATCGGGAATTTATCCAATTAGCCAGCTCTTGGTTTGATGTTGCTCAAGATTGCAATTCCTTAGATCCAGCTTGTTACCATGGTTGCCAACTGATCATTGTCAGGTGCTATCTGCTAGGTACAGGCAACCAGAAGAAGGCAAGCTGAGTCATCATGCGAGGACCAAGTGAATGCAGCGCAGCGAATAAAGCCTGCCGACGCTTGTAGGTTTACGCTGTTTCGGTGCCTGATTTACCAAGGCACTACGAATGAGAGTAACAACAGGAAGAGTGAAAGAATAGGAGGAAAAGAAAAGAAGAAGAAAAGAAAGAGGACAAGTCTACACAGCATCATACGTTCTACTCGAAATACTAGATGCATCCTTTTAGAATAATTCACCCGACAAACCCTATTCAATTAACATGACATCTCCATTCTGGACAGCTTCTCCCGCCCCTTCTATGCCGTTCCAGGTTAACCCACAAGCGTCAACTCCATGCATGACCATCCCCATGGGGTCAAGTGATGTATGCTTTTTTAACATCTGTGAAAGATCCGGGGTCGATTTGTCATTTCTGATGAGCAAAGGCATACGAGTGATCTCATTGCCTAGAACTTGCCGTGGGCTCGCGGAGGCGTTCGGAGAAAAGTACACCTAGGACTACCTTACACGAGCCGCCCGAGGCATCTTAACCCCGATATCTTGGTCAGCAAACTTATCTAATGGGGCGTCAGGCGCGGGCTAGTTTGTCCCGTTGTAGCTGCTCCGAGCCATTCCGGAACCTTTCTATCCAACCCAGCTCGTTGCGGGGATCCGGAGCAGATGAGAACAGGGCCAAATCAAGGTCTCGGGGTCTGTCGGTGGTGGGGCCGGGAAGTACCGTGTTGCCCCGTGGAGTCGCGTATCTCGCTTACTCCGTACAAGTGCCAATATCGGGTAGTAGATTTCTACACTTCTTTCCGTTAGGTAGGCTTTGAAATGCTACGTGACGCAGAGTGTCTGGCACATGGCAGATATGCTTCTTTCTAAGGCTCGGACATTAGGAAGAGGTGGAGCTGGGGTTCGTACTGAAACCGAGGTAGGCGGCATCTTCCTCTCACGGTGGAAGAGGATATCTATATAAGAGGCCCCGATGATGAAGAGACATTGACCTTTTCAATCACAATCATCTCATCACTCATCAGAAAGCAGCATCAATCCAGAAAGCAAACAATCAACCCAGAAAGCAAAAAATCAATTCAGAAAACAAACATCAATCCAGAAAATCATCTCAACTCCAATTTCAATATTCAACCTTTGAAGAAACATCAAAGAGCTTCTACACATCACTCATATACCAAAGCAACCAGAACCCAAAATGTCGCACAACTTGACAGAGTACCAGGTCATTGACCCCAGCAATGGAAAGCATATCAAGACATTTCCTACTGCAACCGACAAAGAGATATCTGCTGCCCTCGACAAGGCGCACGATGCCTACACCAAAGTCTGGCGATCCACCCCGGTGCGCGAGAGGACAAATCTCCTCGTCAAAGTGATCGATTTGATCCGCCAAAACAAGAAGGAAATGGTCGAAATTGGTGTTACAGAAATGGGGAAGGCGATTGAACAAATGGAGGGGGAGGTCGACTTCATTTGCGAAATCCTCCAGTATTACGTCGACAATGCCGAGGGGCTTATGAAACCTGCTCCTTGCCCCGGCGTCCCTGGTGCCGAAATCATCTCAGAGTCTATCGGTGTGGTGCTGGCTGTTGAGCCATGGAACTTTCCCTACTATCAGGTCATCCGTGTTGTGGCTCCTCAGCTGGCTGCTGGTAATACAGTTCTTGTCAAGCCAGCCAACTGTGTGGCAGAGTCCGCCCTGTTCCTAGAGAAGCTCTTCATTCAGGCTGGAATGCCCGCTGGCGTGTTCCAGGTCATCCTCGCCACTATCCCTCAAATCGAGACCCTCATCGACGACTTCCGCGTTAGAGGAGTGACTTTGACGGGCAGTGAAAGGGCTGGCAAGGCTGTTGCAGAACGAGCTGGTCGCAACCTAAAGAAAGTCGTTCTGGAACTCGGTGGTTCGGACCCTTTTATCGTCCTCGAGGACGCAGATCTCGACGAGGCCGTCCAGATCGCGTTCCGGGGCAGAATGGATAACATGGGTCAAGTCTGCGTAGCTCTGAAGCGTCTTATAATCGTTGGCCGTGAGCGAGGCGAGAAGTTCAAGGAGGCTTTCGTCAAGCTTATCAAGGACATGAAGGTCGGTGACCCCAGGGACAGGTCTACCACTGTCGGACCCCTCTTCGCTGAGGCCGGCGTAGTCAACATTCTGCGCCAAATTGAAGAGGCCAAGGCTGGCGGTGCGAAAATTGTGGTTGGTGGAAAGAGGATCGACCGTCCTGGTGCTTATGTTGAGCCGACGCTCATCACAGATATTTCGAGAGAGAATCCGCTCTTCCATGAGGAGACGTTTGGACCTGTGGCCTCTTTATACGTCGTCGACACAGAAGAGGAGGCTATCGAGCTGGCCAATGCAACCAAATATGGCCTGGGCGGTGCCGTTGCCTCTTCCAACATTGAGCACGCCAAGAAAATTGCTGCGCAGATTGAGACCGGCATGGTATTCATCAACTCTGGGCTGAACAATAGCGCTGCTACTCCGTTCGGAGGTGTTAAGAACTCGGGCTTTGGCAGAGAACTGGCAGATCTTGGGTTTAACGAGTTTGTCAGCAAGAAGCTGGTTCGTGTGCATGAGAAGTATTTGTAGGTTTCAGCAGAGGCACACAGTACACATGTATGATGGGATATGGGTTGGATTTGTGATGCTATGTGAACTATACGATAGGCGGCAGTATGTAGATTGGGCAAATGAGCAATATTTTTCTTTGAAAAAACTTGTCAGATTTTTAATCATGTGAATACTTTCAGTTGTGAAGATTTTGCGGTTTGTGATGTGTTATAAGCTATATATACCGCCTATAGGTAATACGGCATATGATCTCAACTATCACGACGGAGAGTGCAATTCCATCCTCAAGGCCAGCACGTTCACACGTCCAAAGGTAAATTATATTAGAACGCATGATTATTCCGACGCATTTCTTATTAAAAAACTACAAATGCTTATTTAATTCATAATAGTTTGTCCTGGTTGAATGTTTGACGCCTTATAGAATAGGCGCCATTGCATGAATGACTGCCTGGTGTTCAATGACAGAGCGGCCCCACAACAGCAAAGGGCCATGTTACAGATAGCTTGTACTTCCTCCAGACACATCAAATGCTTTCCCAAGCATCAACACTAAACTTCCGACACCCAACCCGTGATATCTTCTCATTCCGCACACTGCATCATGGTACGTGACATTTTCTTCGCTGCATATATCCCCTACCCAAGGCAACAACCCAACTAACACGCACACAATCTCTCCCCGCCAGAACAAAGACTCGTGCTTCACCTACGTGCACATGCACCGCTCTGGCGATGCTGATCTCTTCGAGGACTTTTGCAAGGACAAGCTCCCCGACGATGAGATCTACGTCCCGCCTCAGCACCGCCCCATCAACCCAGAGGACGAGGACGATGTTGTTCCTGATCAACACGCGGCCTTTGGAATCCAGCGCGCGACGCAGCGTGTCAAGGAGCCCGCGTGGAAGGATCTGGGCCTGTCGGATCTGATGAGACAGGGCCCCGGGCCAGAGAGCAGGGCTGGGCCCAGCAGAGCGCCAAAGGGATTGCCGCGGTAAATGGATTTGACCAGTGGAATCATGAGAAATACGCGGGCTGCGAAGCTCTATGAAGACTGGAAATTGGCACGGCGTTACGGCAACTAAGCATCAACTTGGACTATCGGGCATTAAATGATACATGATTTTCATCGCACATGTCTTCTACGTCGTTGATATGTAAACATCAAATTTGCCTGCAGCCTGAAATAGCCCTGAACCGGCATATCCATCAAACGGACGATTGCTGACTTGAACCCTCAACTCCAATAACTCCGTCCCATGTAGCCTTCTTACAACTCCATCTTCCCAACCCTCGGATTGCATCAAGCACTAAATCAAGTCTTTGCCAAGAAAACTTCTCTCTCCACCACTTCGCTTCTGAATTTGACCAGGAACACAGTCTTTCCAGGCCACATTTCCCCCTCTCCAACCGTATGCGCTGTCACCCTGGCAGGAAAGTCTGCACCATCACATACCCCTTCTATAACTCCAGCTACAAAGGCCGCGCAGTTCAGCTGGCTCATCTCGCGGGGCACGCTAATGTATTGGTTGACCAGCGGCTCGTTGTCGATAATCATGTATTCATCGGGCTTCTCCGCGTCCGTTGATTTTTCTAGCCTGTCTGCTTGCCTGCCGAAGAGGTGCTGCCATACGTTCTGCTTAATGAAGTGGAGAAGACCAACAATGTGCTGGGGTCGCAGTTGCGTGCGCACAGGTTCGCGGTAGAGGAGGAGGTCGAGAAGTTTGATGCCGATAGAGTGGCCCTGAACGTTGAGCCTGGAGCATTGGATATCATTTGTCAGTCCCAGTCGCCAAGTCTTGCAAGTTTCAGATTTCGGAGTAGAGGCAGAGGGACGAGCAGAGGGAAGGGAGCGGGCAGACAGTCGTACCTGTGTTCCAGCTCCTGGATGCCCTTGACGCGCTTCTGCGCATATGCCACCATCTCGGAGAATAGAAAGGCAAAGCTGGCCTGGCTGAGCTCCGACGTCTTGGTGCGATTGATGGGGCGGTGGTAGATGGTCTTGCCATTGCTGGGCACGCGCAGGCCCGACTCCTTGCCGGAGGAGGCGCCTGATGGTAGTGACGACATGGCGGTTACCGGGAGAAATAGCGGCGCATTGCCGTCGGGAGTTTGCGAGAATAAGGCGCTTGGGGAAGAGGGCAAGATGCGGCGGCGATGCTGGGCTGAGGCTAGATTCGCTGCATGGACGCTTGTATGGAACGATGCAAGGCCAAGTTCCAACCACGGAGCTCCAGACGTGGGGTTGGCTGACTGGTAAAGTTGGTACGTACTCGACTTGCGTGGATGTACCTGCCCACCAGGCAGGCGCCTTCTCTGCCTCCCTTACTTCAACGTCATTATAAAGCAGCTTCTTCTTTACAACTACACTTGATTCATTCGATTTTCAGCAGAATTGCATGCATTTCATATTATTACGGCTAAACCAACAACAAAAAAACCCCCCATACAAAGTGGCCTATGCAAGAAAAATGCAGTCGAGTGATTCTAGCACGGAACCCATCACAGCAACCGAAATACCCGTGACGTGAAATGAAGCACTGAAATATGAAATACGACACGAGACGAGACCCATGAATCACGAAAACCATTATCGCCACGCCTCCTTCTGACTTGATCCTTCTTACTTGATTATACCCTCCAAACGTCCAGCTAAGCTCACTGCACAGTTGACACTTTGGAATTCGCCTCCTTCTGTCGCATCGTCGCCTCGACCCAGTCTGATACTTCATCCAACGCTCGGCGCGGAAACTTCTTGCGCTTGAGCAGGAACCCTTGGATTTCGGCGGGTGAGAAAACACCCTCTGGGATCCGGCGTCCAAACTCTTCTGAGATCGTCTTCATCTCCTCGGTTGTGATTCCCTCCAGCTCTTCGGTATCGTGTTTCGCCACCGGTTGCTCGTTCGACTTGTCTTCAAGCTCACCCGCATTTGCCGTCTTGCTTGTCTCGTTTTGACGGGATGCCTCGTACATTCGACGGAATAATTCTCCAGCTTGAATGCTACTGGCATTGCGGAATTTCACCTGAACGTCGACTCTGCCGGGGCGAATCAAGGCCTCGTCCAGAGCCTCAGGCTTATTGGTTGTCATAATCAAGACGCGGCCTTCGTGAGATGCAACGCCATCGATGGCATTGAGGAGGCCAGATAATGATATGCCGTCCACAGCTACGGGGTTCCTCTTGCTGGCATCCTTCTTTCTGGAAGCTCTCTTCTTTGGTTTTACTTCAACCTCGCTCTCCGACTCACCGTCACTGGTATCGGACGTACTCTTGTGCTTCTTTTTCTTGTCCTTCTTGCCCTTTTCTTCGCTCTTTTTATCCTCCGTCTTGTCGTCACTCTCAGAGCTAAGATCTCGCCGTAGCCCTGCGGTATCAATGTCCTCCAGAAGAACAATGCACCTTCTGGGCAGCTTGGTGAACAGTGATGCTAGATCTTCTTCGTTGACGCCGGCGTCCTGCAGGCTAATTACATAAATATCGATGCCAAACACGCCCGCTAGCGCAAAGGATAGGGTCGTTTTTCCCGTTCCTGGTGGGCCATGGAAAAGATACCCCCGCCTCAGCGGAATACCCCGAGAAGCATACCACCGCGGCGTCCAGGGGTGAAGATATTCGTTGACGTCGGCCAGAATATCATGCTTTTCGCCAGAGTCGAGCACAACCGTTGACATGGGTCTAACGGGCCGTCGTGCTACTTGCTGCCACATGTTATGGTCCCTTCGTTGCTCCTTGACTCTGGGACGATATATGGTCGTCTTTTGGCGCGTGTCATTGTAATAAAGAGCTTTGGCATCCGCGAGCAACTCTTTGATTGGATCTGCGCGAGGGTCAATAACCTCGAAACTGGCAAGTCGAGAATAGCATGGTTTGATTTCTTACCGGTGGAACGACCAAAGCAGGAAACCTTAATCTCTTCTAGGTCTTTCATTGGGCCTCCCCACGAATGAGTGTTGACGAACGATTCCTTTTTTCGGTGAACCCGAAAATACGTCCCCTTGTGCCAAAATGCTGTCGAGCCCATAGCAGGGACAAACCTGGGACTCTGTTGGGCGAGATTCATACATTTTCAGTCAGCTTGCATTCTTGCTAAGACAAAATAGTTAGAAGAGAATGAAATCAAATACGTACCGATCTGGCTGCTTGGTTGGCGAAGTTCAGGTACATCCTATTGCCACCGCCTACTTCGCCACCATCTGTCCAGAACAAGGCATCTTCCAGCTCTTCTTCTTCCTCCCAGGCGCTCTTCCAGACGGTCTGGGCCATGAGGTACTGGTTGTTCCTGATACTGGGGTGGTGAGATAGCCATTTCATCAGGTGCAAATATATGTGGTCATCCTCGGAAATGTACATGGCGCACATGAGATAATCGTCAATGAACCTCTGGGTGTAGTCGTGAATCTGCGACCCGATCTTCAATGCGCCCCATATGAATCCCACAATGGCCAGCACCATTGACGGATCCAGGCCAAATTGCGTGCCTAGGAGCTTATAAAAGAAGACGACGAGTTGCGCCAGAGGCGATACATGACCAGTGGTTGTGAGAATGGTGTCCATCATGCCACCCGCAGAGAATGGAATATTCGGACTGCCGCTCTCGCCCGCTCCATTTTCTGGCCTGATGGTAGTAGGAAAAGATGATGTATTGAATGCTGATACATTGGCGGTGGGAGTGCCAAAGATGGGTGGCAGACTCATCCTACCAAATGAGTTGACGATGGATACGAACGTCATAGTCAGTGTGAAACTATGTGAAAGAGACTGATGTTCAACGGACGGCCAGACGCTGACTATTTAACCAGGTGCAGCGTCTGCAACGACAACGCAAAGGCACGCTAGACGAAAACAAAGGAAAGCAAAGCTCCGTAGCGGCAAATTTCTTTGAGATTCACCGCGCCTCAGTACGCGTAGTTATGTGTCATACGGGAGGATGAAGAGTCACCAATTCTACCGTGATGAAATGCTCATGGCAGCTGAGGCCAAGGGTAGCAGCAAGCGGAGCTATTTAAAGATGGCACAGCTGTTGCACCTTGGTACGCTAACAATACAAAAAAGAAGATACATGGCGTGCAACGAAACGCAGTTGGCAACAGAGAAGCGGCTGTAAGTATGCGGCGCGATTCATTTACAGTAGGGCAGCTTTCGGGCCCAACGCCACCCAAGAATGGAATGTTGGATCGGATGCATTGGACGATATATTGGATCGCATTATCCCATCCCATATCAGACGCCCGCCGCTGGACGTCGCTGTTGGGACCAATACAACCCGGCGGCTCACCATGCATATCCATCAATGCCTGACCGACGTTGGGAACCGCTTCATCGTTTCTCCCCTTTTTGCTTGTCTTAGTTGAGACCAGAGAGGAGAATCCGGGATCAACAGATGAAGGGTTCACAGCGTTCGTCTACGTCAACATTCTGCCTGTTGGTGGCGAATAGAATATGGTATAAGCGATCTAAGAACGATAGCTGAGATGGGGAGTGGGTGTACGAGACCCCGGCTGGGAGAGGCACATTAGGAGCAACTAGGCCTCCCAAGAGTCAATAAGCCCTACGGGCCTTATATTATGCGACATGGCGGCGGTTCGTCTACGGTGGCAAGCGGAGGTCAGAAAAAGTGAGACGGCCAGATGAATAAGTGCATACATTCCGCAATATGGGCACTCAGCCAGCTCATCAAGTACAAGTAGTGCTTCCGTAGAGGAATGCCTAGTATTCAGCCAGTCCTCGGATTTTACTATATAATTAGGTAAAATAGCATTTACTAGAGAAGTATAAAAATAATAGCAGCTATTAGAGAAAGTTTAATATAGTAGCAGTTACTAAAGAAAAGTACCTAGACATAGTAAATATTGGTGAAAATATAAGTTAGTAGCTATAGTAGCAGATAATGGAAATAAGAAATCAGGCGTATAATTTACCGCGTGGGTGTTCTTATTTTCTCGGTCTCGGTTTTTCTGTCTTCCGCTTGGGTGGATAGCCGCCTCAACCTCTAGACGCGAGGCGCTATGGCTACGGTCCGGCGCGTCGTCATCGTTGCCTCCTGCTTTGGTCGAATCCTGCCTTGACCAAAAGTTGGCGACTAGAGGTCAAAAATCTTCATAAGTCCCTTTGTTCAAACCAGCAGCGCATTGTGGCCCAAAGTCGGTTAGGGGGGCGAGGGGGGTTTCCGACCTGCCCAAGTAATATGATTCATACTGAGGCTTCGGTCGGGCCTCGTTGCTCTTGCAGCAAAGTCAGTGTCAGCGCTACTCGAAATCATCATCATGGCAGATGCAGCTCTCAATCAAAGACGGCGTCTTCACTGCGACTTTTGGTACGAGTGAGAGTCTCATGCTAGCTTGCCTGCTCACCCAATGTAAGCGGCAGCTATGCGTGCTTCGGTATCGCCCAACGCAGCACGAAACTTGCTGCAGCCCGTGCGACGGTCAGGTCGGATTTGCGAAAAAAAAAGCTGGCATTGAATCCAACCGTTTTTGTACGACTGATGGGTGTCACTATCGGGTCGGGTTGTAACGCGGCGCGTGTGCTATGCGGCGTCTCTTGATTCGAAGGCTCTCTCTCTCTCTCTTCGTTCGTCGTTTAGAAGTGAGCCGAACCCAACACAGGCCGTACATACAACATACATATTGATTGCGCCCAAGCTGTGCGGCTCAGGTGCGGATCCCCCGCCCAGCAAGCACGAGTATGGAACCGGGCGTGTGTAATAATGCTGACTCTGTCTGTTGTGCCTTTGGCTACGGAGGACGAGTACTATTTATGTGTTTTGTCTAGCCGACTGACTGTTCATATCAACCAACATGACATGCTATCTTGCACACGCGTACGAGTAATGTGCAGACGTGGGAGATCCGGGAAGTCGGTTCGGCGAATCAACTTACATCAGGCTCGCTCAAACGTCCTACTTGACACATGACAATACCCGGTACCAATGGCATCTCGCAACGCATCATATCCCGGCCTTATCGACACTCTGGATGCGTAGCACTAGCGCTCGGTGTTAACATGCACGTATGTAAGTCGACATGCAAGCGTCCAAATCCTCCTCATCTTCTGCGCTGGGCATGGCTTTGCTTGTTGGCCCTAGTTCAGACCGCCTTGGCTAATGAACGAATCATGCCCAATATGCTTGTGTGAGTGTGTGTGTATATGCCCTGTAACACGGGATATGGTCTCATTGCTGTATCCATCTATTATGCAGTCATGTGTACTCCGTAATACTGCTGCTGCTACTAATGTGTGATAGGCCCAGGAGCTAGCTGCCAACAACAAGTCTTTTGTCTTTGACAGACAGCGACAACAAAAATCATGCAGCAGGTCATGGCTAACCGACATCTCCTCGTCTAACCCAATTAATATATTCCTCCCAACCAATACTCGTTGCTGGTCTCACCGAAAAAAAAATTAAAACAAAGAGAGAAGCGCTCTCTGGTTCGTTTATGCCTGAGCCTGTACCGTCTCCTCCTCGAGATTGGCCCCTGCTAGCTTCTCCGCCAACACGCTCGTCTCAGCGTCTACTTGTTGCTTCTTGTCCGAAAAGTCCTCGCCGTTGGCCGTGTACTTGAATCCCGTGACGCTCAAATCCGTGCCGCCTGTGAGATACTCTTCTGACTCGCCAAGGGCCTTTCCGGCAGCCGCCCATCGCGTCAGTCTCTGCTCTCGCTTCTGTCGGCAGAGGTCGTTGAGGGCCGGCCAGTACGTCTCGTGATGGTACTCAAAGTCCAGGTCGCCGTTCCAATCGGAGCTCCACAGCTGCTCCGCCGGGACGTACTGCTTCATGTCCTCGTTGAACTTTAACTTTTCCCGCGTCACGGGGTCAATGAAGGGGGTGATGATTTTGAAGAATCCCTGAACCAGCCAAGGCACTGTTGAACAAGAAGCCGTGTTAGTCCAAGGTGATTTTGTCATTCTCGTATTTCCGGTTTACGCCAAGGTAGACTCGGTTTGGAAAAAAAAAAAAACGATGGAGAGGAGGGAGGCGAGACGAGTGGGCACACAAACTTACCATTGATGATGAGTGCCTTGCCCAGCCTCTCGGGGTAGTGGTTCTGCAGGATGTGCAACACTTCTCTGGCGGTTGACACGGGCACGCTGGTGTTCTGCCTCTGCTTGCTGGGCTTGAAGTTGATCATCAGGCTCAGCATCTCGACGCCGGGAGGCATCATGTCCACGACCCTCTCCACCATGTAAAAGAGGTGGTGAATCTGCCTCGGGCTGCTGTCCGTGTTCTGCCGCCCTGGGTTGAGATACTGACAGGGCCTCCCCTGGCGATCGAAGCCCATGATGATCTGCTTGCCCGTCTCCTGCTCGGGCGAGATGTAGTCGGGCGTGAACTCGTCAATGCCGTACTCGCGCCTCCACGCCAGCGTCGACAGCAGCCGCTTGGCCGCGTCGTCGACGGACCATTTGGTCGCCCGCAGGTAACGCAGCAGGCAGTCCCGCGTCAGCCAGGCGAGCTCGCGGTCCGTCAGAGGGCCCGACTTGTCCTTTTCCTTGTCGCACTTGATCTCTGTGAACGCCTTGGCCTTTTCCAGCAGCGCCTCGTACTTGGTCTGCTGCTCCGGCGCGAGTTCCGGCCGAGGCACGGGCTTGCTGTCTGGCGTGGGCGCCGCGATGGGCGTCTTGAGAGGCGCCTCTGAGGTTGCTGCGGCCATTGTTTTTGTTTGTTTGTCTGTCTGTCTGGTTTGTGTGACGGATGAAATGTCGTGTTGTTGTGTGTTGCAAAAGAAACAGTTTGCTTTGCGCACAACAGCCGCAGTCGGTCAAAGGAGTTTTGACTGAGATTTGAAGGCTGATGAATGAAGTGCTTATCGCCAATCACAGACACACGCTGACGCCCCCTTTTTTAGTGACCTACTCCTAAGAAGGATGTCTCGTCCCTTTTTTTCACTCAAAGCAAAGAAAAAAGAATAAAAAAAAAATAAGATGAGTATATCTCTTCTCTTCTCTTAACCAGTTAAACAGCAGCAACTTGAGATATAAAGAAAATAGTCAAAACTGCTCAATGAGAAAGGGGGATGGTTCAACCCCCAAGAATTATTTATCGCGACTCGACTAGGCTGATGTGCTAAAAAATCTGGCCCTGAGCCTTGGCTCCCCCCCCCCCCGGAATCCCGACCGCCCCGGCCGTTAATTTCCACTGAATGAGATTTGCCGTCCGTCCACGTCTTTTTCTTCAGTCTTTGAATCTCCCCCCCTGCATCGTCCGAATGTCTCGGCGTGCACCGCTTCCGGCCACGCCACTTCACGCCTTTTTTCAGCTTGCTTCTTTTTCGTATTCGTTTCTGGGTTGCTGACTCTACACCCGGACCATCATCAAGATTCATAATCACTGCATTTTCACATCCATTTATTCTCATCATGACTGTTTACCGCATCATTTCTTCTCCCATCTCGCCGTTAGATGCAGATATATCTAACCCCGTACTCATCACGTATGAGTAGCATTTCGTATGCATCCCTCCAGAGTCTTCGTACGACGTGACGGATCGGAAATTTCGTCTCACTCATCTACATACATTATAGATACCCAACCTTAAATCTTACCCTCATCCTCCCTACTGTATAGCTGTGTTACCCTGCGAGGCATCATTCTCTCCGAGACTCCAATGGTCGTGTCTGATATCTGCCTCGACAATGTCCGTTTCTTATTCACCGACCAAGTATCATCCCGAGGTAGCACAAGTATGAATCCCCGAGGCCAAGCATCTAGTTATTTCTCCAACGCATCACCAAATAATACAAAAACTCCGCTCCCAAGAGTCAACAGAGCCATGTCGAAGAAAATCCATGGTTTGCTCTCGTTTATTTATTAATTATTTATGAGATCAATCAAACAAAACCCAACACTCCTTCTACCTCTACACCGTGTCCTCAAACTTGGAAACCCAACTAGATCCATCCATCAATCCTCCCGTACTGTCTGTCCTTCCGGAACGCTCTAGTCGCTAGAAATTATGCAGACTCTCTATAAAAATTTCATAACCTTCATCGGAATCTCGCTTTTTTTTTGTCTGCGCCTTTGAACCAAAAAGAAAACTCGGACCCCGTTCTCTTGCCGCAAATCCCTTTCCTTTTCGTATCGTTTCAAGCGCCTTCGTCTTGGTGTGTGCCAAATGCCAGTCTCTTTTATACCACTAAAACCTGCCAGCGCCGCCGTATGTGCTTCTCTTCGACATACGATACATGAAATAGATGAAAAGGGAATCCCAATTAGTACCCTGCCCTGCTTCTGCTAGGACTCCTGTGTGGTTTTCGTGATGCTCTTTCTAGAATTAGCTTCTGGCTCGTCGCCGCGTCGTAGCCACAGACTTGTGTTAGATAATGCAGTCTAATGAATCTCGAGTCAGTAAAGCTGCATAGAGTGTTAGGAAATGTGCTTGACCACTTACTTATCCTCTGCCAACTCCTTCTGCCGCACATCTTCAAATCCCTGCTGGCATTGCATCCACGCAGCCGCCCGTTCCTTTGGTCTAATCTTCTTTACCCAAAGTCGGAAATCTCCGGTGACAGGCCGATGATCGCTCACCCTCACTTCATGCCGTCTATAGTCTAGTTGCTGTACTCTGCCGCGCCCTCGGAATAGCAGACGGTCACACCATGCGGGGCTTCTTCGCTTTTCGCTTGTGTCGTACGTGTCTGTTCCTACATCGTATTTGTATGTTGGTGCAAACGTGATTGGAAGTTCTTCGAATGCTCGTAGCCGTAGAGCTGGATTCCGGCGGCGCGCGACAAGTAACTGGTCACGCTCCAGGAGCTTGGCCAGATTGTTTTGCTCTACAGCCTTGACCACGGTATCTCGCGACATGGTATCGATGCGGTAGTTGAGGTCACCATTGAGAATGCAGAGCTCGTGATCAAGAATCATGGAGCCATCTCCACCGCCACTGAAGGTATCGATCCGAATCTCAGTATCTCTCTCCACGGGGAATAGGTTGGCCTCGAGTATTGCCGCCGCATCGTTGTGGCGTGAGCTGGCCTGCGTCTGACCGGCGGCCAAGTGACAGTTGATAAAGCACAGAGATGTGTCGTCCACCTGGAAACGAACCGCAACCGCGCCCTTGTTTCCATGCAAGCCTCCCATACCTCGCTTTACTTCGGCACCGCTTAGATGCGTAATCCTGTCTCTCAACGATGACTTGACAAATACGCAAGTAAACAGTCCCACCATGGGTGCGGTGTGGAGAAGATGGTATAGATCATCTGCCGGCATGTAATCGTCCAAGGTTTTGAGCAGAAAGTCGCGCCAGTCTCGGTACTGATGGCTCATTCGTTCCTGGTCGGTCCCCTCCTTCTTCTTTGACTTGAGAAGTCGCTTTGCTGTCGCTTTCTTATCCTCCAAGTCTACGAGCTCTTGAAATCCAAAGACCAAGATGTCGGGAGAGCCGCTCGATTGCAAAAGGTCCTGGAAAAAGGTGGCATCGCCATCAGAGTACCGGAGACTATGAGGGGTGGAAGCTCCGGCGTTCCACGTAAATATCAGCGTTTTTATCTCGTCGAAATCGCAATATGTCGTGTCCTTGGACTTCATCTCATCTTCAAGCCAGTCATCCTGCAACATGCCGTCCCACACCTTGATTCGACTATCTGCACCCAGTGAGACGACTTGCAGCTGATCCAACTGATATGCGCTGGCGAAATCCACCTTCATCTTCAAAACGGTATTGTCGTGCGCCTGCCACTCCTTCAATACGACCCACGGCGTCTGAGCAACGTCGTAGACACACACCTTGCCAGTGTTGTATCCTGCCCACATGTACTGGCCAACTCCAGCCAGCGTATTGATTTTCCACGTGCTGATATTGACAATGGTTTTGCAAGAATAGTCGGACGTAGACAAGATGCTGATTTTCCCGTCAACGTGTCCTAGAAAGACCTTGCCGGGGAAACCCTTCATTAGCGTTCCGGAAGTGATATCTCCAGCGCCCTCCACCGTAATTGGCCTTGCCAGAACCTGGAATGCAGTGCGGTTATCTCGGGTGGGAGCAAATATCCGCAGCTGCTTTCCGGTCGCTTGCCAGAGCTCGTTCCCAACCACCATCGAGAAAGTTTCGCCCTTTGGCACCTTGAAAGTTTGGTGCGGGTGGTTGTTCAAGTTCGGTTCTCCATCGCTGTCTGGGCCCCAGACGTGAAAGTTGCCGCCTTCGTCAACAGTCCACATTTCGTCCAAGTGTCGATATATCTTGGTGACTTCTGATTTCCCATGAATGCCCGCTTTGCAAAGCAGTATGCGCTGCGTCGGAATCTCGACCTCCATAATCTCTCCCACATTGGTGCCAATCCAGACCTTGGAACCTTCTTGGTCGGGGTCTGCACAAGGCTTAAACGACACAGCAGTGGCCTTGACGCCCTCCGTGTGCGCCAGGCTGACGATCTGCTCTCCATCTAACAGACTCCAAACACGAGTCAGGGGGCCGGTAGTACAAACATACTGTCCACAGACGTCGAAAATACGAGGGTCATACTTTGGCTGGATCTCGTAACAACCCTTCTTGATAAATGGAGGTCGGCGGTTGGTACTCGAGCTGTCGGGATACGCTGTGATTTGAGCTGGGGGATCGGATTTCGGTATAATTCCTCCAGCCCCCCCTTCATTTGCAACAGGTGTCGGAAAGTGTTGTTTTACAACAGCACTTGCAGCGGGCGCCGGAGCCGGAGAGGAGCGAGCGTCCAAAGCAGCATGATCAGCCGCCCCTAATTCCATCATTGTCATGGACCGCCCTTGCGCCTTTAGTGATAGTTGTTGGGCATTTGGATTGGAAACGACTCGGTTTGCATTAGGAGCTGGAGGTTGTGACGTAGAAACAGAAGTTGTAGCAACCGGCGTATTAGTTGGTCCAGATGGCCGCGGCGGTTTGGGGGGTGGCTTCATTCCATTATTCGCTACTGGCTGTGGAGGGATGTCTGTGGTTTGAGGTCGTGCTGGCAAGGCAGGGCGAGCGCTGCCCGTTATCTGAGGAGTGATGGGACCCCTGGCAAGGCCATTAGGCTCTCCTTCGCGCGCCGGCTTCCGCACAGACAAGGAAGGGCGGATTATTGGCTGGGTTGGCTGTTCAAATGCTCCTGCAATCTGCTTTGTCCTACTCGGTGCATCATTCTGTTGCGGTAGCTTTGGTCGCGCCGGCAATTCGGGGGGGTTTTCTTCCACCCTTTCAGGGATTCTCGCCTCACCAATAGGAGAGGATTCCTGGGATCGACTTGGCCTTTTCGTAGCCGGCCTCCCTCTCGTCTCAATACCCGTAGCTGCTCTCATCAATGTTCTCTCTGATCGTGAGGCAGGGGGCGGTGGCGGCGCAGGTTTGAATTCCTTTTCTCGCTTCAGCTCAGCCGATCGCCTAGGAGGCGGTGGTGATGGGGCTTTCGAAATCCCTTGCTTTGGCGATCGGGGTGTTGCGGTACCGCTGATACCACCGCTGCCGGTAGGAGTAAGCGGTCGACTTGGTATTCTGAGGGGCGTAGGGGATCGGCTCGACTGGGCAGAGGATATGGTAACCGGATCTAGGAACGGTGACTGATCCCCCGGAGCAGCATTCAGCGCGCCTCCTTTGGCGGGTGATAGAGGAGGCTGAACTGTGACCGCGGGCGGGTGAATGGGCACCGGCGGTTTCGTCGCTACAGGCGGTGGCCGTGTAGAGAGGGGAGGCGGTGGGATCGGTGCCCCTCTATCTCGGTTTGCAGGGGAAGCCGTGACAAAGGCTCGATCCTTCAGAGTCGATGGTTTCGCGGGAGCGATTGGGGAAATGGGCGTAGGCGTCGTGTCTTGGGATGCCTTGAGGTTTCTTAACCTATCCGGCTTTGGCCCCGGCGAGACGTTCCGCGATTGAGGGGCGGGAGCAGGAGCGGGAGAGGGCTGGGACTGGGATTGCGACGGGCCGGCTTTGTTCATATTCTCAAACCGGGCGAGGAGGGAGGAGACGGGCTTCTGGAAGGAAGACCAAAACGTTAGTATCTTGACCAATACGTGATGCTGGGACAACTCACAATGGAAGTGCCATCAGGCCCGCTGCCTTCTGTCTGTTCTATACTGGGGGAAGACATGATTTCTGGTCGGTGGGGTCCTGGGCAAGACTACCCATTACACCCACGGCTTGGTCTCCTACAAGATCATACGCGCACCAAGAGATGGGGCAAGTGTGTCGTAGAGCACACGGACAGACGCTCAGAGTATAACAAGGAGGAAAACGTGCAAGGCCCTCGTGTGATGGGTGGAAATCGTGCGGCCTTAAGGGGGGAGGATTATCGAGGGGCAGAACAAAGCAGAGGATTGCGGTGACGAGCCGAGCCGGAATTCGAGTGTTCGGACGGTATGAGCGCTGGAGGCTCTAGAGCATTCTGGCACGGCCGGATAGCTTGCGAAGGGGGTGAAACATCAACCTGCTAGCTGGCTTCAAAGCGAACGAAACAGAGAAAGGGGGGATCTCCTGCAACTCTCGTGGGAAAAAGCTTCCAAGTTCGTCGAGGTGCTTGCGTGTCTTTAGATGGTGCGGATGATCTATGTCATATCCAGAAAAAGGCTGGGCCCATTAACTAGGTAGCACTGTAAATTAGATCTCGGTAAGGATGTCCCTGCACAGTGTGAGCCACAGCCCTCCCAGCGATCCACCACGGGCGTCTGAGCGCTAAAATTGTCACTGAAGGCCAGCGGCAGCCAGAGGCAGCCAGTGCGCAGCGGTTCTTTGTCCCGGTGCATCGCCGCCTGCTAAGCTTTTTGATCCGACGACTTGGCTTTCTCCTAGCATCAACTCGGAACTTGTATCTTACCGACTCCACCGCTGCGATATTTGACAAGCTCCTGAAATCACCGCATTCCTGGAATCTGGAATCTGTACCGCCACGATGAACACTGTAGGTGCCTCTCGCTTTGCTCTAGCACTGGTACAAGACATTGAGCTTTTTGCTTACTCTCGTTGTTCAGGTTAAATCTTTCTGGTACTAGCCCGCCTGTCCTACATGTCACTGCTCACGAACACAGCCATTTGCTAACCGGACATGCCATGTTCTTCTGCGCAGGCTTGGATGGGGCTCCCTTTGCGTCGGTAGGCAGATACACTGTTCTCCTTTTGCTGAATCCCTCAGCTGATGTGTCATGGGCAGCCGGTGGCGGTGCATACTATTTCGCCAAACAGCAAATCCGGGCTGATCGCCAAGCCAAACTCGACGCGCACCACAAGAAAATAGCGGCCAACAAGGCCCTGGAGTTCGAAGCGGCCGTGGCTTCTACCGGCGCTGGAACGAGCAACGGTGGCCCTGCAAGGACTGACAATGCCGGTTCGCCGAGCCAGGAAGCCAGCAACGATCCCGCGGCCACGAGGCATGCGCCGGCGACAGAGTCCCAGCGCGTAACCGAGAAAAGCAAATACGAGAGCGATACGCCGTATCGAGCTCGTAAAGGGGACAGATTCAGCTAGAGAGACGAAGAAGAGAGGAGCTCGTTTGATTGGTGTTTATGCTGGGCATCCATATCCATGCTGGGCTTGTATAGTATTCACTTCCATGGTGTAAAATAATGCCCTTAGCAGGGTTGTATATAATCTTCGCGCCGCGCACTGACGCAAAATCCGTTCTCCAAGCCCGGCTCAATGAAACAAAGAATGTTGGCAATTGACTACGAAAGCTGTAAGTGCAATTAGCATGTGACGGGACAAACCACGGCGGCAAGCATCTAGAGCCGGGGTGCAGTTGTTTCTCTATCGATTCCATTCCGAGTGAGATTTTTCTCTCTGTTGGTACTTCTTCTTCTTCCCAGTATGCGATAGTCTCAGATTTTGCAAATTCACTTTGCTTCTGTAGTAACAATACGGATCACAATCACATGGTTTCAATTATGCTCACTCAACTCACTCTGCTTCTCGTATTCCATCTAAGCTCATGTCGTTGCCCCAAAGCTTTCGCGAAGCTTCGGAACAACCTGCTCTCGCAAGCTACAAGGTACCTCCGTGGTTTTCCCGGCATCTGCGACAAACTCCCAGCCTCGAGCAACTCCAAGCTCCTTGGTTAACCTTCTTTATATATCGGAGCTCTGGGAGATCAACGGCTTTCTTGCACCCTCGTCTGGGCCGCCTCTTCGCCCGCAATGGCTTCTGCTTCCCCAGAGTTGGCCATCACCAAGGCGACGCTGTCAGCGACTCTCTTTCGCGCCGATCCCGTCTCGCTGAACCGCGCCGCGGTCGACGACTTCTTCTCGCTGCTAGACAACGCCATCGTCCAGTGCTCCCGCCAGAACGTTCAGGTTTGACACATTGCTCGCAAGCATTTTTGTCCCCGTCCGCGCACAAATCGCTAAACTTCCCCTGGGTAGAAATGTAAGGCTTGGATAGTCGAGAACATTGTGCCTTCCACCGCGCGCTGCACAGCCTTGGGCAAGTTCTGGGCCGTCTTGTCCAAGAATCTAGCCGTAGAGAATGACGGGAAGCGCCCCAGCACCAAGAGACGGAGGCTGCATCTCCTGTATATTGCCAATGACGTCCTTTTCCACCAAGTTGTGCGCCAGAGCAACCGAAAGCTCGGAGAGGCGTGGGCTGGGGTCCTGCCAGCAATGATTGGGAATGCGGCGGCTTTCGACAACTGCCCCAAGCACAAGTCCAAGCTGAGTGAGCTGATCAAGCTGTGGGAGGACAAGGCGTATTTCTCCCCCGAGGTTGTTGCCCAGCTTCGCACGGCTCTGTCCAACGGTTCTGCCGAGATAACTGCTGTAAACCTCGAGCTCTCGGAGAGCTCACTGAAGCTCGCAAAGGATGCGCCATACATTCTGCCCTCCTTCCACGGAGATGCTTCCGTTCCCTGGTATGATCTGCCGGCTGGCACATGGCTGCCTCACATCACCCCAAACTCTTCTAGGCCTATGATCCCTGATCAGGTCCGCCCCATTCAGTTGGCAGCAGGGCCTGCCGAGAAGCGAGTTGTGGATGCTGTCAAGATGCTGCTGAAGGATGCAGATTACATTTACTCCAAGGATAGCGATCCGGGCGACGACCTACACACGGGATACAGTGAAATGGGCGAGCGCATCATCATGGACGAGATCACGGGCGAGGTCATCGGAGGAGAGAGCTACTATGGCTGGTCTCGCCAATTCTGCGAGCGCATGAGGGAGAGGCTGAATAAGTCAAAGAAGGCTTCCGCAGAGCGCTCGCGATCTGCTTCCAAGTCGCGGCCAAGGTCAAGATCAAGAAGCCTCTCCCAGGATCGATCCCGAAGCTCCTCTCCGCCTTCGTTCAAACGCCCGAGGCTTTCGTCGCGTTCCCGGAGTCGCAGCCGACAACGAGGTCGGTCGTATAGCCATAGCCGCAGCCGCAGTCGTAGCTACAGCCGGAGCCGCAGCCCTAGCCGCCCTCGTGGCCGGAGTCGTGATCAGGGCCACGACCATGACGGCCGAAGCCGAAGCCCAGGTGGGAAGTACGGCAGCAACGAGCGACCTGACCCGAGGTTTCGCGCGTATGATGAACGGCCTCCTCAACCTCCTCAACCTACCCCCGTGCCACATATGCCATTTCCACCTCCTCCCCCGCCTCCTAACTCTATGGGATTCCCATTCCCGCTTCCACCGCCTCTTCCCTTGGCAGGATTTCCACAGTCGTGGACCCCTGGTACAGTGCCTCCTCCACCGTTCAACGCTCCTCACGACGGTTGGGTACCTCCTCCCCCTCCTCCTCCCAATGTGGTGGCTCACCTCATGAGTATGAACCAGTTCCCCGCGGGATCTGTACCCCAGCCGCCGCAGCCGCCTCAACCGCCTCAACCGCCTCTGCACAACAACCATTATGGACGCGGAAACGGCGGGTATAGGGGTCGTGGACGAGGCGGGTACGGCCGTGGTGGCTATCGAGGGCAGTATTAACTGCTCATCTTATTTCAAAGATACCATTTATAATGCAGGGCGTTTTGGCCAATGTGATGACAAAAGGGCTTGTCTCGGGGTTTTGTAACGATTTTTCTTTCTTAGACATTACGTGATGAACATGGCTCGTAGGCTTCACGAACAGTGTATGGCTTGATATTTACCCTTTCAATTGAATCCAATAGAACTAAAGTGATTATTCATTGCGATCTCTCCATTGAATCTAAAAGAAGTCAACATCATGCTGCTACTTACTGGATACTAAGTGAGAAACGTACGAGTTTTACATCAACAGTATAAGAAATAAAAAGTTCAGTTACAATACAATACAATGAAAAAAAGACAAAGCAAATAGTCTATTCGAGTCAAGTACACACAAAAACACACACAATTTCCCCCACAACTACCAACCAAAGCCCAACTCACACCAACCCCCCAACAGCAAGACAGAAAAGAGAGGAGGAGAGAAGAAGAATGAACAAAGAAAATCCCCCAAGCCTCCCGTCTTGTCTTCCCCTCCTGAACATGAAAAAAAAAAAACACAACCGCTATTCTACCAACAAAAATGCCCTTCTCTCCCATTCCAGCTCCAACAATGCCTGGCAGTCTATAGCCTAAACACTTTTCATTTTATTTTTTCCCTTCTCTGCTTCCATGTTCAGGGGGGCACGTTGTGTAACACTCCTCATTTTTGCGTTTTTGGCATCCCCTGCTTGGGAAGAAAAAATAAGGGATAAAAAAAGGACAAAAAAGGAGGGAAAAAATAATGATTATTGGATCGACCCCTCGTCGTACATGAATCCTGCTCAATATCGGTGTTTTGCAAGTCTGCCTATGCAGATGAACATGAGAAAAGGACGAAAAAAAAAGAAGAATCATCAACATTACTTGAGTCACCAGCCCCTTCGCAGCCCCAATTCAAGCAGTCCCCTCATAGCCCGAGCCCCGACGTTGATCTGCCATCCAAAGAAGAAATCCCCCCCTGAATACTACTGGGCAGCTCATAATCCCCGGCACCTACAATAACGGTACTTCCACTGAGTCCATATCGCAAGACTCTTGGTTGCCAAATAGAAATTAGCGGGAATGGAGGGCCATGGGACAGGCAGAATCAAGAAGGCGGAGCGAAGCAATCGGTCGTGAGCCTGTAGGGAGGAAAGGCTCGCTTGTCAAACCGAGACTATCTACTTCGGTTGGACCCTACGGAGCTTTGTCGCTCGTGAGCGCTTGGGCGACCGGTGGCATCTTGAAGCTTGAGTGAGTCAAGGCGTTTTTGGTTATCTTCAGCAGCGGGATCCACCTCGTCGACTCGCGGGAGGTTGCCTCCTTGAGCCCTGCCAGGCGCCTCAGCGTGACCCAGGCCCAGTGATGCCCTCCGCTCGTCAGCCTGCTGGGATAGAGCGGCCCACTTCCGCTCCCGCAGCGCTTCTCGAGCTGCTGCGCTGTTCTGCTGCTCCGTGTAGTCGTGGGAGCAGTCGTCAAAGAGTTGGGGGTTGATCTCCATGAAAAGCTTCATAGCATTGTAAACCATGCCGTGGATTGTTCTGCTCACACGTTAGTTCATACGATGCTACATTTTCCAAACCAAGAAGCGTCGTCAACGTACCTATTCCAGTGACCCTTAGAGTTTTCGTAGAGAGGAGCAAACATGATGGGAAGAATGATTTCCACATTGTCGCTTACAAGGTTGCAGAAGTATTCGTTGTTCCAGAAGTACAACGCACGCTCGGCGACTTGGAAATGAGGGCTGGCCACTGACTTGGCAAGCTGGTGGAACAGGGGCTCTTGGACCTTTGCAAATTCGGCCGGATCCATAACTTCGAAAATGTCTTCAACCTCATTCAGGAACATTACCTCCTTTGTGCTGTTAACCTTTGGCCAGTAGCGTAGCAGCCCAAGAACAACCTATGTCGAGTCTTTTGTTAGTACACTGGCGACATATACCTGACAAGATTGGTGGGAAGGGCCTCCTTACATCTTCGGTGAGAGATGCGTCTTTCTCCAGAAACTGGACAATACAATAAGCGAGTTGAGGGTGGTACATGCTCAAGCTCTTGGGCTTGTGTAGGGGGAGCAAGACGCGGGTTAGGAAGATTTTGTGCTCCTCCTTCAGAGGCAGGGCGAATCCGTTAATAATGGAGCCCAAAATCTCTAGAAGCTCGGCAATGCCGTTGAACCTCTCGGTTTCGTAGGTGAATTGGAAGAAGACGTTGTTGATTGATCGTCGAATAAACGATCGAAGGTTGAGAAACTTGCCGTAGATGCGGTGCAGGGTCGTCTTCAAAAAGTCTCGCTCTCGGGGGTCCTCAGAGTCAAAGAGATCCAGCAGCTGGAGCACAAAGCTGTGGTCAATGTGGGCCTTGGCAATGTTGGTGTTGAAGTCCTGGCTTTCAATAAAACGCAAGAAGAACTCGTAAACGACCTGGATATGCGGCCAAGCAACCTCCAGGACGGGCTCGTCCTCCTCCGGATCGAAAGCCTCGCCCTGGGGGTTCAATGGGGGTGGGATTGGTCTGAAAAGGTTCTTGCTAAACATCTCGACGACTCTGGGATACATGGGCTCGGTGATGACCTGCCTGTTGTTGGCAACGTAGTCGAGCAGTTCGTGAAGAGCTAGCCGCTTGATCTCCTTGGCTTTCATGTCACCACTAGCGTCGTTAAAGTCAAAGATGACATTGCACTGATCGATCTTTTGCATGAACAGCTCCTGGCGCCTGTTAGGCGGTACTTCGTGGAAGCCGGGAAGCTTCTCCAGCTCGCGGTGGGCGGAAATGTCAAATCGCGATGAGTGCTGTCGCTTTGGTGTCCGCAGGCCTTCTGGGATAGCATCTCGGTTATCCATGCGATTGATCATGAGAGACTTCTGGCCCGGTTTCGGGGGGGCCAGCTCATGGGGCATCGTCTCGGTAGCTCCAGGAGGAGGTATGTGCTAAGGGAAAAGAATAATCAGCGTCACAAGTCGTGAGCGGCTCGCGAACTGGAGCGAAACTTACACCTGGGGTCGGGCTGATGACGACAGTTGGAGGTCCTCTGCCGCCCGCATTGGCGCCGTTGGAGTTGGCAGCACCGCCCAAGGGACCAAAGCGGTCAGCGAGGCCTTGTTGAGAACCGCCAGAAAGGCCAGATGGCTGGCCGGCACCGTGATCGCCTCCATGGCCAGTATTTGGCGGCAGCGGCTTGTTGCGTAAGTCGTTGAGGGTCGATGTCGAGGAGGACGGGGTCAGTACCGGGGACTGGTTGGAGTCTCGAGACGAGGGGGACGAAGTTCCATCCTTGGAATCCTTATTCTTCTTGGAGGACTTTGTGGCATCTTTGCCTCGCGAGAGCTGGTTGGACGACTTGGCATCAGCGGCTGCCAGCTAGCTGGACAAAGGGGAGAGCGCCGACAGACAGCACCTGGAGCGCGCAGCGGGCATCAAGGGAGGGGGACTCACTACTCTCTGGCTGAATCGCTTCATCTTGGCTTGCAACGCCGCTCAGGAATAACTATATCGAAGACCGGAGGCCGTCCAGCCAACTCCGTAGCCGCAGTGGGGTAGCAAGGCAACACACAGTCGGGATGCGGAGCGGAGGTGAGGCGAGCCTAGGCGAAGGGGGGCAACGCCAGCTATGCCGGGGGCAAACGGCGTTCGTCGGGCCACGAAGGCGCGTGTTTGCAGAGGCGATGGCAGAGGCGATGACCTGATTGCGTCGAACGTCTGTGTAGGAGGCGGCTTCGACCTGGGACTGGGAGGGACAGAGAGGGCTCGTTTGGACGCAGGAACGCGGGTCTCAGGGAGCTGGTCGGAGACAGCAGGAGGGCAGGGGTCGATCCGATGCGATGGCAGTCCGCCCAAAGGAGCAGGATTAGATTGGATCGGATTGGACTGGACTGGACTGTGCTGGAGGGTGTTGGGGGCGGCTTCAGGGTGACCAATTGTCGTCTGGTCGCGCAGAGTCGGCGTCGAGAAGGCGATGGGCTGGCCTTTGATCCGCCTGTCGCCCGAGAGAGATGGCGAGATAGAGATGAAGAGAGGTCGAGAGGCACAAGGTAGAGAGCGTCAGCGGCGGGCTGGATGCTGGCAGCACGCTCAGAGCAGAGCAGAGGAGCTAACAACAAGCAGCTTGGAGGTTTAGCCGTCAGAGAGGCGTTGACGCGGGGGAGTTGCTGTTGCTGAAGAGTCCAGGTCGAGACGTGGAACCCGAGCCTGAGCCTGCCTGCCCGTACCTGTGCCCTGTGCCTAGCCGGCGCTCAGGCGATCACTTGCTGCTGGCAGTACTGCCGGGTACCTGTCGGGTCCAACGATCCGGCTGTAGGGGCTGGGCTGTAGGGGCGAGTGGTCGCTAAGGATGGACTCAACTGGCGCTAAATCCGACTCCCCCGTAGCTACCTACTTGTACACAATACACCTGCGGGTGAGCTGAGGACGAGAGACTGAATCAATTGATCGCGACGGGAAACAAACGAAGCTCGCTCAATGGGCACGACACCTTTTCTGATTTGATCCCACCAAGGACTGTCGTCTCCAATGACCCGGTCATTCAGAGCCAGCGCTGTCCAAGCTCCTCGACAGGCCTATTACTGTGCGTAATATTATAGGGCACTGTCCGGGCACTGCAGTGGTCAGGATGGACAGAGCCGCTGGCCAATCGGAAGTGCAGAAGCTCGAGTCTCAAACACCGCCCCAACAAGCGCGTGATGCGTAAATTACGTACCTCCTTACCTGGGGCCTCATTTAGCGCCTAGAGTGGCACGGTGCGCAATACCCCTGGACCGTACTGTATCCCACCCCATTCCAGCTCCAGTTGTTTGATTCAGAGTGTTTCGCTAGCTGGAGCTTTTTCAGCAGCTGTTGCAGGGGTCTTGTTTGGCCTCCATCAAATCTACCATTGATCCATCCATATATGACCATTGAAGCTAAAAGGTATTGGATTGAAGCTTCACGGAAAAATCCTTCGCCATGGACACACCTCGTCAAGAGGACGTGGGAACCGTCAGCTCAGGGAGCACATCGAGGAACCCGGCTCAAGACCAAGACCGTCGCGAGGATGGCGCTCCTCGATATGCCATACCACCGAGGGAGCTCACCGCGGTCGAGATCCCGGCAGTTGTTGAAGATGTTGACCGAGCCATCAGGGCCTTTGGCAGGGTTCCTTCTCTACGACATGTAAGTGCTACGCCGTAGTTGATACGCAACGGGCTGTGTCTTGTCGATTTGCTCATAACCGAACCTTGTTGCGCGTAGGTCCTGGATCCTCTAAGAAACTCTATACCATTATATATAAATCCTGAGGAACCCTTTTGTCCGCCCATCATGTCACATAACGCCAGGTCTCATAATGTCGTACTCAAGGTCACGGTTCCCAGACGTACTGGGAGGAAGCGCAAGCGTGGGACGGACGGGCCCTGGCAAGGCGACGTAGAGCCTGGAGGCACCGATGCCTCGCCCTCACCCTCAGAAAATGTCTGCTCCATAGCACGCCTCGATGATCCGAGGCTTCTGAGACGCAAACTGGAAGACAATGTCGACAAATACCACGTCGAGGCTGTCGGATTGATCAAGCATACCCATCGCTTCAGGGGCTTGGCAGATTTTTACTGGGACATGGACAAGTCGTCATTCGCACAGAGATTCGTCGACCAAGTGTTGCCCGGAGATGGTATGAAGATGAATCATCCCTTTAATCCCCTTTATCCGTGCCATCTGATGATGTGCTAACGACGACCATAGTCGAGAAGCTAAAGGAGTTCAAGTTTGCACCTGGCATCGACCAAGGCTCGAATGTGGACATTATACCGCCGCCCATCTTCACCCACATGAGCCTGCCATTCAACTACTTTTATTCACAGAACCCGTATGTTCGCTTAACAGAAGATGGCGGAACCGTCAACACAACAGCGGTCAAGCAAGTTGGCCACTTTATAGGAACAGAAGATGCCGCGCCTACCGGGCCCCAAATCCCCCCCGACATGACAGATCCGCGCATGGTGGAGGTTATCGCTCAGCTAGAAGAAGCGTTTGAGGATCGTCCAGTATGGACTCGTCGGTCTCTATTGAACCACCTTGCCGGCAAGCTTCGAAATTGGAACGAGCTGAAAAAGTACCTCAACTATGCAGCTTATCAGTTCAAGGGCGGGCCGTGGAGAGATGGAGTAGTTCCGTACGGAATCGATCCCAGGACTGACCCCAAGTATCGCATTTACCAAACCCTCATGTTCAAGCTTCCTAAGCAGAAGCGAGCCCGGAAAGACCAAACCTGGCAATCCCTACGGAGGGTCCAGATGGGCCGAACAAAGGAGTTTGTCCAAGAGTTGTCGGCCAGCCACATGTTCGACGGAGAGACCTACCACACCGATGGCAAGGTATGGCAGGTGTGCGATATTACAGATCCATTGCTCCGGGAGCTGCTGGATAACGCAGAGGTGCGTTCGACATGGGATGTTAGCAGTGGGTGGTATCACGGAGGCTTGTGGGCAAAGGTCAAGGCCATCATGAAGACGAAGCTTGTGGCGATCCAGTTTGGTCGGCAGTTGACCAAGGAAGATTTCGCCCCAACGCTGCAGTGCGGAGACCAGACGCCGATTCGATCTACTTCGGCCACTTTTCATCTTCCTCTACCTAATCTTAACCTAACGACTGAGGAGCTCACACAACTCCGAGGTCGAGAGCCGTCCAAGAAGAAGAGCCAAGTCTACAATGTGAGAGTTCGCCCTCGCGCTAAAATAGACGTCGACATGGAGGAACAGTCTGTTGCTGCCTCACACGATGCAGATGCGGATGCGGATGCGGATGCGGATGCAGAAGGAGAGGCAGCAAGCATACTAGGCAGGATGGAACAGAGCGAGGACTCTGAGGCTGGCAGCGATGATGATGACGAGGATGAGGATGATGAGGAGAACGAGGAAGAAGGGATGGGACACACTGGATTTGAAGGCGATGAGGACGACTACGGCGAGCTGGATGACGAATAGTAGTAGATTCGTAGTACACGAGAACTCTTCATCATCCAGGTGCCTCCTCCACCAGTGTGCAAACAGCAAGCCCCAGACAAATCAGGGTCTGATAGGTTGGATGGATGCGCTGCAAACGAGAATCAACAACCGTGGTTCACTGTGCACCTGCCCTCCAGCGGCTTTGACCCCTATCTGAGGCTGCACCTTGTGCCTCAGGCTGCCTCAGCTTTTATCTCATGCAAATCTGATGCCACTATTTATTCCTCTTTCACCCTCAGTCCTCCCTCTTTCTACATCTTTCTGCCTTTCCATTGTGCATCAATCTTCTTCTATCCCAATCACGAAGCGATAATTGACCTTTGGGTCTAACCTATCCCCATTCTACAAACTCCAAATTCCTCTGCCAGCATAATGGATTCTTCTCATCCGTTTTCCGGCGGGCCTTGGTTCTGCACACACTGCCAGAAGCCGTTCTCTGTTTGGGAACACTTGGTAGAGCACAAGAAATCCAAGCGGAACGAAAACAAAGAGGACCACATCCATTGCAAGTTCTGTGGCCGGGATTTTTTCACCTTGGAAGGAGAGATGAAGCACATGCAGGTGGTGAGTCAATCGGCACAAGCCTTCACTTTTCTCACCACATGAACACAGAATCCCTTCTGACCTCAAAAACAGGAGCATCCTCTTCAGCAGAATCTTGACTGTCCTGGCTGCGGCCAGGGTCCTTTTAAGAGTCTAGGCTCTCTCATGAGCCACATTGAAAGAGGATTTTGCACACGCATCGACAGTGACCTCCTCGATGAGCTCAGAGAAGAGAAGCTCGAGTTTCCACGACGCTTGGAGCAGTTGACCAAAGAGTCGGTCCAAGGAAATTACACGAAGTATATGCCGTCACCCAATGCAAACTTCTCGATCTCGGGCTGGACCGTTGAGAAGGAGACGCCCTCATTCAAGATGGTCCAAGAAGAGTTCCCAGATTTGTCTACTACGGTCGTTGATCGCACGCAGCCTCCCTCAGTCACCACTGCAACCCAATCAGAGTCTAGCAAAAGCAATAGGACTACCAATAAGAAGACAACCCAAGGGCCGCTCAAGCTTCCTTTTAGATTGGCCAACAAAACAGAGATGGCACCAATCTCCAACAGCGAAAAGAAGGCCCAAGGTCCAGGACGACTTCCTCTTCGACTACTCTCCGACTTCAACCGTAACAACAACAATATCGAGGCATCAAGCTCTTTTCAGCGGCCTCAACCGGTCTTCAAATCGGGTGTGACCACTGTCGTCGCAGGCATAGATCTTGATGATCCAAATAACCCGTCGTTCAACGTCGCCCGCTATAAGTGCCCAATCACCGAGAAATGGAACTGCCCAAAACTACCGTGTGGGTAAGAATATCGCTTCAATTTAAGAATTCGCCATGTACAGACATTGACATTGTGTAGAAAAACGTTCAAGACAGCCAAGGCGCTTATTGGCCACCTTCGATCGCCAGTCCATGGGAACAAGACGTATAGATGCCCGTGCTGCCTCAAGATATTCAAGACTTTGACAGGCATAACTTCGCACGCAGAGACTAGAGGCTCCAAGTGCCGCATCCAAGACACTGTTCACTACGAGGTCTTCATGGGCCAGCTGACGGCAGGCATTGTCGATATTGAAAGAACTCGGTATCAAGATGGAAGCATCATCTTCAAGACTTCGGAGCAGGCGAAGCAGAGACTTCGTGGAGAGACCAACAAGAATAAGAATAAATCCAAGGATCCGATTATTACTGACCCAGATCAGGTTTACTGGTAGAGGTAGCCATAGCCTCTCGCTCCATGACGCTGGCTTCTATTTTTTTGGAGGATTGATGTATTGGTATCCATCCCTTAATTACTCGTAGCTTAAGATTAAGGTAGGACGAGATTAGCGATCGACGAAAGGCACACAAGATCATGCTAGTGGTTACCGCCATTCAGATTAGCAAGGCTAAGAAATAATAATTTGCTCTTCAATTGATTAAAGAATGGAAACGTGAAGCGCTGACGAGTCGTTTCTTGTAGAGCAATGGACTTGTGCTGGATTCAGATTCAAAAGCCACGATCCAGAGTTGAATGGTATAGGGTAGGTAGTATAGCGGCTACAGAGGGCCCTGGCCGTTCTAGAAACTGGACAAAGCTGTTTCAGGCCCGGCGACTCGGGACATTTTCCGAAATCAACTGCGCCCCTGGATGACCTAAGCTCCCAGGTGTACGAATCCTCCGAACGAACAGGCTTGATTGCTCAGCGCCAGCTGTCAGATTGATTAGACAAAGAGCAATCTCAAATGTGCGAGTCGACCTGTCGCAGCCAATCTCGATTGCCGAGCCGAGTGGTTCCTTGTTCGTTGCGAGACTGACTTTTGCTTTTGGAACAAAGAGAGAGAGACGGTTACGAAGGGCGATCCGATCCGATCCATCCATCCCACCCGCTGAAGACCAAGATCACGATCGCGACGTAGCTGTAACGACCGGACGACGAGGGGGCCGGAAGCGGAAGCGGAAGCAGAAGCACCAGCAAGGGGTCGGGCTGCGGCTGTTTTAATGGAAGACGAGTCGTCCAGCGATCATCCCAGCATGGCGTTCCGTTGGGCGCGCCGGTTCGAGCGCGCGTGTTGCACGACGGCCAAATACTTTCCCTTGGCGTTTGTCTACGGGTTGACGTCGTGGGCGTGCTGGGTGGTGGTGAGCATTGGGAGCGAGAGCGACGGCACCCGCTGGATAGGTAGGTAAAGAGAGGGGAGAGAGACGCATGGCGACGGTGTATCATCTGGCAGGAATGTCTGACTGACAAAAGTCTGGCGCGCGCGCGCATGTAGGCTCGACATCCTCATTCTTTGGCATCTTGCTTTATCTGCTACTCAACTGGTCCTACACGACGGCCGTCTTTACGGATCCCGGATCGACGACCAACGACGATGGCTACGGTCTTCTCCCGACGAGCGGCGGCGGCCAGAGCCGCATGGCGACATCCTTCACAGTCAAGAGCAATGGAGAGATTCGATTCTGCAAAAAGTGCCAGGCCCGCAAGCCGGACCGCACGCACCACTGCTCGACGTGCCGCCGATGCGTGCTCAAGATGGACCACCACTGCCCTTGGTTGGCGTCGTGCCTCGGGCTGCGCAACTACAAGCCCTTTATCCTGTTCCTGGTCTACACCACCATCTTTTCCTTTTACGCATTTGCCGTCAGCGGCTCGTGGTTCTGGACGGAAGTCATGGACGACTCCAAATATCTCGACACGCTGCTGCCCATCAACTTCATCATGTTGGCGGTCATGAGCGGCATTATTGGGCTTGTTGTCGGGGCCTTTACATCGTGGCACATCATGTTGGCTTGCAGGAATCAGACAACGATTGAGTGTCTTGAGAAGACGAGATACCTGTCAACGGTCAAGAAGACGCTGCACCAGGCCCAGAGCCTCGCCAACGGCTTCCCACAGGCGAGGCAGTTTGTCGACTTTCACGCGAGCGCGCTGCCTGGCATCACCACTAGGGAGGAGGGCGAGGAGCGGCGCTCGCAAGAGCCTACGCCCCGGGTGCAAATGTCATATGAGGAATTGGAACGACACCAGAGCCGCAAGCGCTATGAGGAGTACCTTGACGAGCAGGACTCGGAGAAGCTGCCCAACGCATTTGACCTTGGCTGGAAGCGAAACCTGCTGCATCTCCTGGGACCCAGCCCCTGGCTGTGGTTCTTGCCCATCTGCAACACGACCGGAGACGGCTGGAGCTGGGAGGCCAACCCGAAATGGGTCTCGGAGCGCGAGAGGCTGAGGAGTGAACGAGAGGAGCAGCGCCAGCGGGAAGTGAACGCGGGCTGGGGATACGGAGGAGAGGCTCCGTCGGCGACCGCGGACGTCACGGGTAACTACCACGGCCGCGGACCTCTGAACGCGGTCAACGGTGGTGCGAGAAGAGCTCCGAGCAAGGCGGATCGCATTCTGGGTAGGGACCCGAACCTGTACGCCGACGGCTCGCAAGACGTGCCCATGCGAAGACTAAGCCCGCGTGGCCGCGCGGCGCCACCGGAGGATGATTTGCTGGACACGGACGACGAGGAGCAAAGCAAGTTCAGCCCTGGCAACGGCTCCCAGACGGCCGCCAGCCGGCTCGAAGCTGAACGGGTCGCCATGAGCGTGGTGACCAATACACGCTCTTGGGGTCGCGGCGGCGCGAGCGGAATGCTGCGCCATGGGAGTCAGCAAAGCAACAACAGCAGCCGAATGGAGAGCCCGAGCTCCGAGGTGAATGACGATGGCGTCGATTGATTTGAACGACTGATGCTTTTCGTCGTCCTCATCGTCCTCCCCTTTCCGCTCCTGATTGTATTCGTTTCGTTTCTTTTTTTTAAACTTCTTATTTCGACATGGCGATTTGCCCCTTTTTTCTTGTTTTTTCTCTTCTTTCCAATGTGGCGAGTAATTTATTCGAAAGCTTTAATCTTGTTCTACATTACTCTGTCTTATTACACTTTTACACTACAGCGGATTTGGAACAATTGGTAAATGAAAAGGGGGGGTTAAAGGGAGGAGGAGAAGGTTAACACGCCGAAGATCCTACTTGGTTTATTTTTTCCCCCTTCGTCCCGGAAAGAATGGGATTTTGTTTAGAACAGAGTCAACCACGCGTCCCACGGCTGAGATTGGGATGGCCAAGGGGCCCGGGCGATTGGTGATGATGAAAAGAGGGGGGAAAAGGGGGCAAGTTTTTCTTTTTACGCCATTGGGATGAAGCTCCCTTTTTTTTTGATGAGAGGAAACGGATGGTCTTAGTGTCTTACGCATATATATGAACGAGCGGCATACTTAAATACCGTGTAGCTGCTTTTCCTTTGCTATTTAGAGACGAGGGGAAAGGGGGGGGATGATTGAGGAGGCCTCTGGAGAAAGCAAAGAGCCTTAATGTCTATGGTTTTTGTTTAGTTTCCAAGCTGGCTCTTAATTTGTGCTTAGTGCTTTGTTGGAATACCGACTGTTGCTTCAGTTAAAGGAAAGCTGACGTCTTTTGCACTGCTAGAAAGTCTTGGCCGGCTTGATTATCCGAAGTAGCAAGAGATGGGAAATGCTCGTTATTGGCATATTATACGGGTATTACGAGTTACCTTTGTGTTCAAGTCTATTTTTTCTATTTTTCTTTTATAGCATTCACGCCCCCCTTTTTGTTTTGACACCGTCGCGTTCGCGGACACTATTTCGGCTCCGACACGCCGACGTTGAAGGCGGTTTGAGGGGAGGGAATTCGCAGCGCAGCAGAGATTGGGAAGAGCAGATAGTACGAGTAGCAGATAGGCAGCAAAGAGAAGAGGGATTATAGCTCATTGCGGGGAGATAATGGGAGAGGGGGGGCGCGAGCTGGTTCCCATTAGAGGCAATTCGTTCGAAGGCAAAATGCCGTTGCTGCATGGATGTTCCATGTTTGACTCCCCCCTAACTAACTGTATAATACGTAGTAGTGCGAGTATATGAGTATACAGCATACGCGTTGCCCATTGTATTTAGTTTGATGGGCTACAGGGACCATCCCAGCTAGAAGTAGAGCGAGGGCCAAGAGAAGCATGGGAAAGCCGTCATCCGTGAAACACGCGTTTTCGAAGGCCGAAGAAGCAATGGAAGCTGAAAAATAAATGTTTTCCCCCACACCCCCTGAGTTTCATCATCGTGGCCGAAATCTCTTTGATTCCGCCCCCCCCCGTTGTTTCCGCTCGGGCTTTTGTCTTGTCACACACGCCCCCCTTGTTCTTGTTCTTCTTATTCTTCCCCCTTGTCACGGCTTTTTGCTTTTGTTGTTAAAGGTGTGATTACTGTACGAGTATCTGGCGATTTGGATTGAACGAGGTCATGTCCCTCCGAACGGGGCTCAGCCTTAAGGGGGGCCAAATGACATTCCCTATTTTTTTTTTTTTTTTGCTTTTGTTCCGTGACAGCGACAAAGGGGTGGTGATTGTGATGACAAGTACGAGATGGCCACAACTTCGTACGCAGCTCGTTCCTCGTCAAATACGAAGTTCCATACGAGATGATATTAAAAGCAACGAGCTGAGCTGAGAAAAGAAAAAAAAGTGAGGCTTTGGGCTTGGCGTGTTTTACCGCCACGGGGCAAAAAAAAAAAAAACCCCCCGGTAGCCCAGCGCATTTCAGTTCAGATTCATGCATGCCATCAATTCCTTGAGCCGCTGCGCGACAACACTGGAAGCCAATCTCCATGGATTGATTGGCATTGATGGCTGATTTTTTTTGACAAGTTGGCAGCTGCCGGGCACAAGTACTGCTCTGCAAAAGGTACTTGCTCGGTGTCGAAGCTGCTTGTACCTTTTTGTTTTCCTTGTCCGTTATATCCTTTCTACGCACACCCTCTCTCTCTTACTGTGTACCCGTACCCATTAGTACTACTATGCCTCGGATGCTCAGCATAAGTTTTGACCAAGCCAAGACATAATCTTTTATTATTGTTATTATTTTTAATATCATTATTATTTTTTATGCTCTCATTCATTCATTCGTTCATTTTATTTTGCGTCCTTCACATGCTCTGTACTTTTTTCTCATACGAGTAATTCCTCGGAGCAAGACGCAATGCACGGTAGATCCCCCTCACATCAACATCTCAAATCCCAAAAAATCAACACAGCCAAACTTTCCCCCGCTCTCCCTCCGGCGCCGTTTAGCACCTCTTCTAGTCAAACAGATCTAAACTGCCTCGAGTAATGCTTTTCAAATCGTGGCCATTCATTCTTTATCTATCTCTTCTTTTTTTTTTACTTTTCCTCTCCCCAACTCATTCCAATATAGTACAGATACTATGCGTAGATTAGACAAAGATACGAGAAGAAAACAGCTCGCCATCTCTTCTCCCGGCACTATTCGTACAACACAAACGTTTCGGCCGGCGCCAGTGAAAAGCCACGGAACAACCAAGGAATTGGAGAAAAGAATGCCCACGACAAGGCGGACCGCGACAAATGTTAATGCAAAGATACACACATACACACCCGGTCCGGGGCTAGCAAATTGGCTTTTCTTCTTCTTCTCTGCTTCCCTTCGGCGTATTACAGAAGAGCGACGGGGGCTTTAGTCCAGGAATCCTTTCTGGTTTTTCGATGGTGAGGCGTTGACATCACTTGTTTATGCGACCTGGCCTGGCCTTGCTTGGTTTCGTTTCTTTCATGCAACAAAGCAAAAAGGTAACCAAGTGCTTACATGTCACGGTCCCGTCCAGGCAGCTTAGCCGTCTCGTCCTCAAACTCTCCCCATGCCCGGGAATCTCGCCTCGGATCTCTTCATGTTTTCTGTTACATTTGACGTTCGGTCAAAAAGGTTACTTTCCACGATGATTCTCAGCTGCTGTGTCTCCAACAAATGCCCGAAATGGCAACGAAAATCTTAATCTCCAAAAAAAAAAAAAACACAAAATACAGAGACACAACAAGCAATTAGCAAGTCTAGATTACTAATGACAAAGGAGAGGCAACGTCACGTTTTAACCTGCCAATTCACCCTCTAAACTTCCACCTCATTCCCCCACCTTGTGCAAAACTCACTTATATTCAAACTCTCCGCTAGAGCCGCACAGCTCTGTTTCGGAACAGCTCCCCTTAGCCCAACGAGGCAATAACCGAATGAACCGGCTCAAAGTAGCAGCAGTGCTAAGCTGGAGCTGTTAGCCATCGCCCGAGGTACCTTTTCCCTCTTTCTCCCTTGCAACGATTATGCAGTGATGATGTATCCATGTATTTTTTCCCTTTTCTTTTTCTCTTTTCTCTCGACACACGCCCCCTTCTCCATTCCCCTCCTTTACTCTCTCTCTCTCTCTTTCTCTCTCGTTCTCCTCTTTACCTAGCCCTCTTTTTATCCCACTCAAAAATCATTAATAAAACAAACAAAAGTCACTGCCGATCTTTTCCCATTTTCTCCTTCCCCCAGGTTCATCCCAAGATTCCGCGATTAGCTTACTTACTAGGTACCTGTAAGTAATCTGCCAACATGAAACGTGCATCTGCCCATCAAGTATGTACATGCTAGTAGCCTATCAAATAGTATCGCACAATCCAAAAGTCCGCCCCCCATTGTCAATCGCCAATCCTCCGTTTCTGCCTATCAATCCGCAAAAACAAAGTTGCAGGATGCTGTAGATTGATTGTCAGTCACGGGGGGGCACATTGCAGTACCTAAACTCACACGTCATGGTTCCATCTCGATGGCAAAATTAACACGCACGAGTAAACGAGGCGAAACATGTTGATGCCGAAAATACCAACACCAAAAGTCCCCCCCTGTTACATAGCAGGTAGCAACAACAACAATGCCCAAACTAGCACAGCCTCCATGTATCAAAAAAAAAAAAAAAAAAAGCAAAAAGAGGATAACATAACATAATAGCAATAAGAAGAAGAAGAGAAAGCACAACCCTCTCTTTTCTCATCTTTTTGCATTAATCCTGCAACGCAATGACGCCATTCCTCCTTTTCTCTTCAGCCCTTTTGGCCAAGGGAGCCTAGAGCACAAGCCACCTCTTGTCTTGTCATGACACCAGCTGCACGCCATTCGCAGCACAGCTCGCGCCTCCTTGTCTCCGGGCTTCTCTTTAGCATTATTAATGTTATTAATGTCAACACCGAGTTTCTGAGTCATTGGTTTGGCGGTAGACGCACAGTGGTTGTCGGATTTAGGTGCCAGCCACGTTACTACCAGGCCTTTCGGTTTCCAGTAATAACGTGAATGCTTAGCGGAATGACAACCAATGCAGCACCACCTCAAGCAAAAACGTTTCGTCGGCGCAGAAAACTCAAAATCATTCGATCCCAAGCTCCCTAATCACATCATCCTCTGTTCTCCATAATTGACAAGAATCTCGCCTTTTGAAAATTGGGAAAAACACGTATGACTATTTCGGGGGACAACATGTCGTTTCACCTTGTCTTACTATGATTACGCGGGCTCAAAATTGCTCTGCCTTACCACCTACTGTGGACATGATCATCTATTGCTCCGTGAGGCGCTGAGCTGAGTCTGATATAGAATACATGGAATACAAAAGTCCACTTTGGCTGGTACTTTATCAGCCAAGGTAATTAGGTATCCGCATAAATGTCGTCGTCATCATCATAAAATAGAGGAAACGGCAAAGTGTCACCATACAATTTGATACATGCACAAGCCATCAACAACAAGTCTGCGACATGAAGCAGGTCCACAAATTCCCTATATATCATCATATGCTATTCGTATTCATCTCACAAATGCGCCTTGATCCGCCGTTTCATGCAATGGCA